ACTTAAATAACAATTAATAGGTAATTATCATTGCCATTTAAGTGAAATCACTGAACTTAAATATACAAGCTTGATAAAAATTATCATTCTAGAAGAAAATTTCAAATGGCACTTAGAGGCTTTTGCATCTGAACTCTTCATATATATATACAGTATATATACACACACAGTTGTCTTCCAGTAGGCACATTAAAGATGGAGTGAGTTGGTCATTGTGAAGCTCACCATACAGAGAGATGTTTGATATCCCATAATGCCTCTCTTCTGCAGTTTGGGGGGGCACACAGTTCCCAAAGGAACCCGGGTTTTGGTGAACATGTGGGCGATCCATCATGACCCCAAACACTGGGACGAACCTGACACATTTAGACCAGGTGAAGTCTGGTTTAACTTGAAGAAATGATGACAGAAATATATTACTGTTGTACTGTAGAGTGTACTACTCAGTGTGATACTAATAATTAATACAATTATTAAAAAACTTTATTTTTTAAGGTATATCATTGTTTTGTCTTCCATGTTTTAATTTTAATAGTGGAACCAAAACTTTATTTGCCAAAAAATAAAAATAATTGTTAAATTTTTATTTGATTACGTTTAAAAATCCCTTTATGTAATTATTTTTGATAATATATTTGCATTAAATCATACAGTACATCCAGAAAACACAGAATTTCTGAAAAAATAAAACAAACATTTCACAGGGCCCTATTGTAAAAAAATATTTTTATTTTATTAAATTGTTAATGTTTTATGGATTCAGTTAATTTTACACATTTTTTATGACTAAAAATTAATTAAATCATTACAAAGGAATCCTGAAAAATGGGAAAAAAAGGAATTTAGGAAACAAATAAAACCAATTTCATAACCATAACTTATAGAATTTAGTCAAATTTGATGTTTCGTGATTTCAATTAATTAGACGTGCTTTTTGATTAATACAAATGTATTTGAAATTCATACATCTTAAAAAAAGGCTTAAATTATTTTAGTGCAGAATCCAGAATAATTTTAATGGAAAAACATGGAATTTGGGAGAAATATAATGGAACTTTGGTAAAAAAAAAATAAAAAAATAAAAAAAATAAAAGGATTTAATTGGGTTCTAAAAATGTCATTTTAATTGAACTTTTAATAAATTGCTTATTAATTGAATGAGTTTTATTATTTAAATGAATTACATTACAAAATTTAATGTAACCATTTAAATGGAATTCAGAAAAAAAAATATTATTTTATTATTAGGGCCCTAAAATGTACTTTTTAAAAAACTTTCAAGAAAACTTTGTAAATGTCTCATGATTTCAATTAATTAGACATGATTTTTGATTAATACAAATTTACTTAAAATGCACAAATCTTGAAAAAAGGCTTTAAATGTGGAATTCAGAAAAAATAAATAAAAAATGGAACTTGAGAGAAATATAATGTAATTTTGGAGAAAAAAAATTAAATGGACTTAATAGTGCTCTAAAAAAAAATTTTGAATGTAACTTTTAAATGGATTGTTTGTAAACTGTATGAGCTTCATGATTTCACTGAATTACATTTTAATTACTAAATTTATTGTAACAATTTAAACAGATATTATTATAGACACAATATTATTATTTGTGTCTCATTTCCAGCTGCAGATGTTTGTTAAACACTTTGACTGTGGTTTCTGAACCCTTCACAGAACGGTTCCTCGACTCCTCTGGGAAAAGAACGACTCCTGCCAGTTTTCTCCCGTTCGGCGCTGGTCCTCGCGTGTGTGTGGGAGAATCTCTGGCCCGGATCGAGCTGTTCCTGTTCATCAGTCGCCTCCTACAGCGCTTCCGCTTCAGCGTCCCGTCGGGAGCTTCATTACCAGACCTGACGGGCCGGTTCGGGGTCGTGCTTCAACCTCAGCGCTACACTGTTCGAGTCACACCGCGACGCTGAGCCCGAACTGCAGTCTCCTCTGTTAGACACCAGGTGGCGGCACTGAGTCATTCATCATTTAAATTGACAGTGCAAACAAAAATGAAAATTTTCCCATGATTTACTCACTCTCAAGCCATTGGTGTATATGACATTATTCTTCCAGACAAATACAATCTTAGTTATAGTAAAAAATGTCCTGGCTCTTCCAAGCTCTATAATGGCAGTTTCTGTTTTGAAGTCCATAAAAGTGCACCTATCAATGATAAAAGTGCGTCTTTCCATCATAAAAGTGCGTCTATCCATCATATCTATCATAAAAGTGCATCTATCCATCATAAAAGTGTATCTATCCATCATAAAAGTGCGTCTATCCATCATAAAAGTGCGTCTATCCATCATATCTATCATAAAAGTGCGTCTATCAATCATAAAAGTGTATCTATCCATCATAAAAGTGCGTCTATCCATCATAAAAGTGCATCTATTCATCATAAAAGTGCGTCTATCCATCATAAAAGTGCATCTATCATCATAAAAGTGAATCTATCCATCATAAAAGTGCATCTATCCATCATAAAAGTGAATCTATCCATCATAAAAGTGCGTCTATCCATCACAAAAGTGCGTCTATCAGCATAAAAGTGCATCTATCCATCATAAAAGTGCGTCTATCCATCATAAAAGTGCATCTATCCATCATAAAAGTGCGTCTATCCATCATAAAAGTGCGTCTATCCATCATAAAAGTGCGTCTATCCATCATAAAAGTGCATCTATCCATCATAAAATTGCATCTGTCCATCATAAAAGTGCGTCTATCCATCATAAAAGTGAGTCTATCCATCATAAAAGTGCATCTATCATCATAAAAGTGCGTCTATCCATCATAAAAGTGCGTCTATCCATCATAAAAGTGCGTCTATGCGTCTATCCATCATAAAAGTGCGTCTATCCATCATAAAAGTGCGTCTATCCATCGTGACGTGCTTCGAAAAGGTTAAATGGTCCTGAAAACACTTGTTTCTCGCGGTCAGAAATGAATGATGAGTTTCCTCTAGTGGAAGCGTTTGGCACTGCAGCCGAACACACTCTCAAAACACTCCTCTACTGAGAGATTAACCTCAGATTTGGAGCACGACTTCTTTAGATTAACTCAGTTCTAGAGCAAAACATGTTTTGGAAAATATATCTTTCATATAAATATAAACTAGTATTATTGTGCATTTTTCATGACCAAAAACCAGTTTAAAATCAGTAATAATTTGCCAAGCGTCTTCTTTAAAAAGAGACCAAACTTAAGTTGAACATTATTAAACTAAAAAATATGGCCTATTTCATTCAAATTATATATATATATACACTATGTGTGTGAAAGGTTTCTGTTCTCTGTATGAAGTAACGTCTTGTTTTAAACGAATGGATTAAATAAAACAAAATGATGAATTCCATTTAATTTAATCAATTACAATTCATCAGTTCTCTTTAAAGCACCAGTGATTCATAAAACACCATTTACAATCAGTCTCTGTCTCACACACACACACACACACACACACACACACTCACTCACTGGGCAGACAGAGATTACAAAGACAGGCTGCTAATTGTGTGGTTTCAGTAAAGCGTTTAGTCTTTAAATGTTTGAATTACACCGTTCACAGCGCCGCACATCAACGTCAAACACACTCTATTGCTCACACTAGAGTGGGTCGTCATAGTAACGCCATGGTAACGCAACAGCGATGCTGGTAACACTGTCGATATTCTAAGATGGAACACAGAACCCCTCTGACAACATTAAACAGCAGCACACCAAACACTCCGATCAGCATGCTTACAAAATAGAGATCATTTCATATCGAGCTTATATATATTCATCTGAAGCTACTAGATTTATTTCTTATGTATAATTAGATCTATTTCCATATATATATATATATATCTATGTATGATGGATTCAACAAATGGTGTCTTTAGGCTGAACGAATCTCACGAAAACGTCAAATAAAAAGTTAGAATCATGTACAGTAACAGTTAAATGTTATTTTGTATTTGATATTTAATCACATTTTCTTCTCTGAATGGTAATTATTGTGATTATTATTGTTGTTTTCATTATTCTCAATAGCTAATCATTATTAAAACAATGACTTTTTACATTTAAAACTATATATTTATGGCAGTGGAACATATACTGTCATGACGTACCTGTATTATACAATGCAAATATTGTCATGAAACGAATGCAAAAAAATTGTTAAGGGTGTTTTCTTAATTTCTTATTTGTATCATCTGATTACGGCATGAAATGTGACGTTCGTGAGATTCACCCGCCCGCGCGTCGTAAATGAACAATGTCGTACATAGCAAAACGTAAACGAACGTTAATAAAAAAGCACAATAAATGGCGAACCGAAGCAAAAGTCATGTCCTGAGGTGTCGTCTTGATTCTTTGTTAGCGGTTTGCGATGCAGCATCTGTTTTGGCCAAGCTGGTGTTCTGGGGAAACGCTTTCTTCGCGCATTACCCACAATTCCATGGGAAGGGCGTTTGTGTGTGTTGTTTTATCACAACTGTCGGTGTTCTTTTCGAAAACTAATGAGCAAAAGCAGCAGTCGGACTGTCAAAACAGAGAGTAGGAAAGAAGAGGAACATTTGAAAGGTCCGTTCCGCTCGTCCAGTCAGAACACTGTCCACTCTTTAGGGCGTATCTTTAGGTCGCCTTGCGCAGAGCAATTTTTACCTCTACGAATGGCCAAAAATCAAACAAAAGTAAGTGTTGCATTATAGGTTATATGCAAAAATTAGGAATGAAATTATGCTTTCAATGGCATGTTTATTCCTCCATTGCATGATGGGCCAAATCAAAGGTCATCACAGGCCGACGTTGGTCTGATTTGTGTGCGTGTCAACAAAATCTCTGACAGAAACTAACACACTACCGGTCAAAAGTGTGGAATAATTACGATTTGTAAATGTTTTTGAAAAGTCTCATCAAAAAAAAAAAAAAAAAAGTAAAAATTTTTGTTCCCCCCCAAAAAAAATTGTAAAAATTGTGAAATATTTTTAGAAATTAAAACAGCTGTTTTCTATGTGAATATATAGTAAATTTTAATTTATTCCTGTGATCAAAGCTGAATTTTAGCATCAGTCTTCAGTCACATGATTAATTTCGTAGTTATCCCAAAATGTACGGTAGTGTGTGACCTTGAGCTTCTAATGTCAGTCTGTACAGTTGCTCTCAGAGCGTCACTGACTTTAAGATCTACAGACTCACACTCAGTTATGCACTCGCTCAGTCGGTTTCCATAGCAATGACGACCGCGTCAGTGGGCGGAGTCACAGATGAGACAGGCCACGCCTCTTTCCCGCCCCCATCGCCTGGCATCTGTCTGGCTCTGGCTGAACAATCCGGACTATCGTGGAGAAGAGTGTCATCCGTCCCAATGGCCGACTCTACCGGTAAGTGTCCTCCTCCTTCCTCCTCCTCCTCGTCATCCTCTTCTTCAGGTTCCACCCGGCAACGGCAAACCTCGATGCCGGAGTCGCCAGTCAGCCGTCGCTGCTGGAAGTGCGTTTGGTCGACGTCCAGGTCGCTCACGGCGGAGTCGCGGCGCTCGGGTTCGACGCCGGGAGAAAACACAGCGGATCTAGGCGGAGACTGAGGGGGCGGAGCTACAGGCTCCTCCCTCTTCTGCTCGGGACGGACGCCAAGCGGATCGGAGATGGAGAACAGGTGCAGAGACGAAGAGGACGAGATGGAAACGCTGGTGATATTCTTGGACGTCGGGCTGTGAGTATTGTTTGCATCACAGATGTTGTTCGTATTAATGGTTTGGGATGCTTCTAATACGTCAGTAATGTTATCTGTGCTACTAGTGTTGAGGTTTTTCACCGGTTTCGTGTTACCATTGCAATCCAAGGGGGCGGAGCTTGGAAGCCCCGCCCCCTTGGAGCATGGGAGCTCCGCCTGCACGACCTCGATCGGCGATTGGCCACTGTCGTGAAATGGAACGCATTCGGCGTGCATGACTGCGGCGTGGGCGTGGCCAGACTCGCTGAGGGAGGGCGTGGAGGCGTGGCTTGTGTCGGTCTCATCCGTGAGTTGGGCTGACGAGGGGGAGGAGCTACAGGGTGATGACGGACAGCAGGAGTCACATGAGCAGCTGGTGTAGTTGTCGGAGCTCTGGGATGACATCATGTGACTCGGGCCCGGGTGGGCGGAGCCTCGTGGGTAGGCCACGGAGCTGTAGGGAGGGGGGGGCGTGCTGGGCTGGGCTGCTACTTCCTCATAGGACGGCAGTTTAAGTGAGGCGAGGAAACCTGCCAATGAGAACTCAGGATTAATATACTTAGTTTAGCTTTGTGCCCGACTCTTAAACGGGTCTCACACACCGGACGAGAAGCGTTAACCCCCCCCGATGCACATTTTCTAAATTTATCCCTGCAATATTGTTATGTTTAAGGACATTATGAAATTAAGATGTAATTGTTATGTTATGTACAATTAAATACAACCATTGCCGAGTCTGCAGTCTTAACACTTTACCTTTATTAATTGTACGTTAACTAAATTAATATAGAATCTCACCTGAAAATCTGATACTTATCATCCGCGCAGCTGATTTCTGTCAATGCATGTAAAACTAAATGTTTCTTCCAGCACAGGGTGAAGTCAGTATATACATTAACCACGATTCGAGACGAATCTAATGCAAATTTAATATAAAAATATGCAAGTTGTGCGGCAGGATTTTGAACCTGAGCACTGCCGGTGTGTGTACACACACTCATAGAAAATAATGTGTCTGAATTTTGAAGAGGTGCGCTGTGTTTCTCGTCTGGTGTGCGACCCCTTGACTGTAGATTGTGTACTTTTAACTGTATAATTTGTGTTCACAACAATTCTGCTACAGATTTGCACAAAAATAAACAGAGAATGATTTATTTTGTGATTTTTTTTTATATAGTGTTCTGCACTATTACGATTTAATTAGCATGTATATGATAATTTTGCTTGTTTTAAGCGTCAACTCACTCAAAAAAGGACATAATATCTAATGTAATTTTACTCATCTAGTAAACGCATCTTGATTTAAGAAATGTTTGATATTTGTACTGGAAACAAGACAAAAATACAGCATTTCTCTGTGTGTGTGTGTGAGTGTGAGAGCGTGAGTTGTGAGCAGTTCTTACTGAGGTCAAACATGGAGGACGGGTAACTGCACGCCCCATGGTAGGCCATGAGGTTGATCTCTCTCTGTCTCTGCTGCTGTTGGACTCGCTGCTTCGCCTGACGGTGACGATACGCACAGCAACAGCTGAACAGGATCAGCACACTCCACAGCAGCCAAAACCCTGAAACACCACCAACAGTCCTTAAAGGAGCCGTTCGGCTGGACGGTGAGTAAATCATCGGCTGATTGACATTTTGAAGGCCTTCTGAAGCAAAGCGATGAGTTTGTGTAAGAAAAATATTCATATTTAAAGGGTTAGTTCACCCAAAAATGAAAATTCTGTCAGTATTTACTCACCCTCATGTCGTTCCAACCCCGTAAGACCTTCGTTCAAAGTCGCAACACAAATTTGGATATTAAAGATATTAAGATCGCTCCATAGGCTTCTTGAGGGAATGACTCAAAGTCATTAAAGACATCGTTAAAATAGTCCAAGTGACTACAGGGGCTCACTCTTAAGTTTATCAAACGACGAAAACAAAAAAACAACAAAAATAACGACTTTATTTCAACTATTCGTTTATTTCTCCCTCTGCGCGAGTCAGGTTACTTGTTTAATAGCGTAAGCTTCTGTTATTGTACGTCACACGCATCATCACACACATGACCAGCGTCGGCCAATAGTGAGCCTACGTGTGACGTAGCTTTACGCAATCACACTACGCTAACTGACTACAGGCTCATGAAGAAGGAAGTGAATAGTTGAAATAAAGTCGTTATTTTTGTTTGTTTTTGCGCCCAAAAAGTGTTCTCGTCGTTTGATAAAGTTAAGATTGAGCCCCTGTAGTCACTCTGACTATTTTAACGATGTCTTTAATGACTTTTCGATGCCAGCAAGAGTCATTCCCTCAAGAAGCCTATGGAGCGATCTTAATATCTTAAATATCTTAATTTGTGTTGCGAAGATGAACGAAGGTCTTACGGGGTTGGAACAACATGAGGGTGAGTAAATACTGACAGAATTTTCATTTTTGGGTGAACTAACCCTTTAAAAGTTTATGAAGTGAAATAACTAAAGGAACATACGCAGTCAACTTACGGCTAAAGCGCAACTACACACAACGCGCGATAAAAGCTATCTTTTCCATGTTCCATGAGTTTTTGTCCAAGCCAGCCGCAACACAACACTCGACAATTCTATTTTAGTTTCTATTTTTCTGCGACGGACAACAAACACAAAGCGTGTCGATGATAATCTCAGGCGCTGTGAGTTAAGTTAAGCACCACATCTCAAACGCATTAAATGTATCTGTCAGAGATAAGCTGCTTTAAACTTTAAACTTGATATATTACCAGTTATTTTGAAGCTATTAATATAAGCTTGTGTCATGTTTAGGACGAATTGTACTCTTTCACTGCAGCTCATATCAAACTACTGTATCCATATAAACGGTATTGCCTCGTTCCATATCGTTTATCAATATATCGTACGAACTTGATACACCGCCCAGCCCTATGTCAGAAACACCAACGATTTCAATAAATGCGTTTTTGCCGTTTTAAAGAGAAAATACTCAGCAATGCTGTCGACTGTGTGTGTTAAAGTGTATTAAAAACACCACATACACACATAAACAACATTAAAAGCTGGATTTACACCACAGGGAGACTTTAATGTTCGCATAACCAAGATTTTTTTTTTTCGGAAAGAACAAAATGATGGATTTCTGTTAGCTGGGATGAATGTGTGCTGGTTAGCCAGAGGGACTCACACCACAGCTCATAGTAGTACGTGCAGCAGCCGGTCTCCTGGCAGCAGTGTCCGGTCTGGCACAGGTATCCGCTGGCGCTGCTCGTGCCGGGACAGTAGCGCGGGCTCCCCAGGAGAGGCAGGGTCCCTGAACTGTGGTACTCCATCCCCTGCAGCAGCGCGTGACGCCACCGAAACACTCGGTCCCCCTCTTCCTCCAGAACTGCTGCTATGGGGCATTCAGAGCCCGCAGAGTCTGGCAACAACACATCCCAATCAGGGACGGCCACTTTACACAGAAAGCACAAACCATCACAGAACCAGTTTCGAGTCGCACGGGTTTATCTGTGGCAATTGCCAACAACACATGCATTGTATGGGCCAAAATTATTGATTTCTCTTTTTTGCCAAAAATCATTAGGGTATTAAATAAAGAACATTGCATGAAGATATTTAGTCAATTTCCTGCAGTAAATATATAAAACGTATAAAGTTTTAAAGGCGATTTTCTCAAAATTTTTTTTTTTTTTTGCATCCTCAGATTCCAGATTTTCATATGTTCTTTAAATCTTAAATTTTAAAAACTTGACCCATGTGACTGGTTTTGTGGTCCAGGGTCACACATGTTCCTGGTCTACTTATGATTCATTTGTGCATGGTTTTTAACAAAAACACGTTAAAAAAAATACTTTTGTTTCAGAATACTTGTTTCAGTATGTAACATTCCCATAATGTTTGCAAAATGCTAAAATGGAATTATAAAAATTCTTCTAGTAACAATAATAGAATGTACATTTAAACTAATCTAGTCTTCAAATACGTTCCACAAAAACGCTATTTATGGAACTTTTTCTGAAAGGTAGCTTTAACAAAAAATAGTACAACATTCCGAAAATATTCAAAAGTAACTTTCTCGTAATGTTTGCAAAATGTTAAAATGGAATGTTCCCTTAAAAAAAAACAACAAAAAAAAACAAGAAAGAAAGAAAAAAAAAACGTTTAACAACTAATGATTCATTGTAAGGGTAGAAAAAGATGCCCATGTGAAACTAAATTAATTGCCAATTACTTTTGGACATTATGGACTTATAATATTGACATCTCACAGGTGTTGTGTGTCTTTACCTGGTGAAGGACACAGGTGTCCATATATGCTGTCGGGATCATCTATAAATGAGGGGAAACACATAATAATCAACCATCGCTTAAATGAACAGCATGAACTCTTATCTAGTCTGTTCTTATAAGCGCAAACAGTGTTTTAGACGAGAGATGCACGGGCGTGTCCTATTATGTGTGCAATATATCATCCTGTATGTGTGCAATCAAACTTTAAACGTTAAAGCAACAATTGTTTCTGTTTGCAAATGAAAAAGATTAAACAGGCCCAGACAGAAGCGTAACAGTACACACACACACACACACACACACACTGAGTGATGCTTTATGCACCTGCAGCAATAATAACACGCAGCCGTATCGATTATAAAGAAATGCACCAACCTTACTAAACGCGACGCGGGGTCAGTGATGCGTGATGTCGCTGGTGTTGTTGTAGCAAACGGCCTTTAATGAAAGTCGCTTCTCTTTCTGATTCGCTCATTTTGCGGATTCTGCACCGACTGTCTCTCTCCGTCCGCCATTTCCCCGTCACATCGCAGACGACACACACGTCAACCGGGATATTACAACGACAAAACACACCGCGCACACACACCTTTACTACTTACGTGTATGTTACACTCAAAATGTAAAATCTAATTTTTTTTTTTATACAACAGACGCCGCGAGACTGCAGACATATATAATGCCGTGAACGTTCATCGGATCTGATGCTGATTGGCTCGAGGCTGCAGGATGCAGACCAATCAGAGCAGACCTGGGTTTCGCCTAGCAACAGCTGGCTCGATGGTAAGACCATAGATAGGTATACAGGTAAAAAAAAATAAAAATACATGGGCTATAAACAGGACTCGACATTATCCTGTAACGTATCAATAGTGAAAGATTATGGAATTCATGCGATCATGTTAAAATCCCGGTTTACACACGTAATACTTGTCGTGACAGAGAGACATAATACATATAAAACATGGAATGGTTCATCAGAAGCTTGCTGTAGCGTTCTGGCAAGTTTCTTTGAACAAATTTTCGTCTTGTAAAGTTAATAGTTACTTGACAACACTTTATTTTACAGTGTCCTTGATACCAACCATAGTAATGATGACAGTAAATTATGCTTAATTACATTCAACTAACCCTAATCCTACCCTAACCCTATTACCCTATAGTGAGTAGTTCAATTGTGAGTAAAAAAAAAACTTTTGCTAATAATTTACTCACCCTCACGTCATCCAAGATGTCCATGTCTTTCTTTCTTCAGTCGAAAAGAAATTAAGGTTTTAGATGAAAACATTCCAGGATTTTTCTCCATATAATGGACTTCAATGGGGTCCAAACGGTTCAAGGTCTAAACGATGGTTAGACAACAACCTTAATTTTATTTCATTTTTATTTCAACCTTAAGTTAACGTTTTTAACCTTCATTTTATTTCAGCTTGTTTGCAACTTATTTTCATTTATTTATTTTATTTTCAACTTAATTTCTTATTTTCATTAAGTTAAAGTTGATGTACTAAAATAACCAAAACTGACTAATAAATAATCAAACTAAAATGTATTATTTATTATTAAAAAACATAAACCTAAAACTAATACAAAAGACAAAAACTAAAATGAAATGTGAAAGTTAAATTCAAAATAACAATTAAAATAATTCAAAATACTGATAAAAAAATATCTTAAAAACGGTCACAGCTTGTAATGTAACTGCAATTATTCTTTAAAACTAAATGTAATTATTCTCAAGAGTTTCGTCATATGTTTCTTTATTTGAAGAGTCCATATCTCATCTTTTCAAAACAAAAGCTAAATCGACACAACAGTGAAATATTCATTTTCACAACAATATTCTTAATTCTAAAACATTTCCTTAAATTTCACACTAAATCATCTGTTAAGGAATGCACAAACATATGAAAGGATTCTAGACAGAGCAAAACAAATACAGCATTACAACAAAACATTGTTCTATAAGTTAAACAAGTTCTCAAAAATATGTTTGTTCGTTGCTTTCTAAATTGTAATACATGGTGTGTTTTTCCATATTATTTCTGGAAACTAATTAAAACATTAGCAGAGAAAGAGGCACAGCTTTAAGTTTTTAATCTTAAACTGATGATATAATGATAAATTATCACAATATACAAACTGAACCGTTCTACAGTACATTTAATCAGAAACACACACTTCAGGGTGACAGTGTCAATTGTACACAATTGCAAAATATTTTTTCCTGAGTTTTCATTTCTAATAAATGAAATTTCTAAAGAAATATGGTGCATGATATATTGATCATCATTTCCAGTTTTCTCTCACCGGAGCTTTACCATTAGCAGCATCAGATCCGATCACGTCACATCACATGACTCTTTTATGGATGAATCTCATTAAAACATGTTCAGCTCATATTTGAATTTTTTTATTGGAAATCTAATGAACATTAAGAATTGTGCATTGTGACTTTAAGAACATTTCTCAAGTTTCTCATTCTCATATATAATATATTTTTTAAATTAACATAAATTAAAGACGGTATAAATATTACAACGTATAAATACTTAAACAGTTTAAATAATATATTCTTGTTTTGCAGTCATATGGAAGCCCATTTCTGCCACATAATCAAAAATTATGTGTTTGTAAATCATAATCATGACATAAAACATTGAAATTGACATAATAAACATTTGTAGGAGATTAAGAGTTATAATTAAGACAAATCAAAATTATGACGTTAAGTCATAATATGACAAAAAGTCTAAATTGACAAACAGTTGAAATGATGACAAAATTCTAAAGTTAAAATTGACCGTGGAAATCGACTAAAGTCCCAAATATTTCGTAAAAATTTGAAATCGACAAACAGTCAAAATGACATCAAAGTCTTAATTATGTCATAAAAAATTATGACCGCAAAGTCACAATTATGTAATAAGTTGAATTTGACAAACACTCAACATTGTGACATCAATGTCATAATTATGACAAAAAGTCAATTATGTCATTAAATGTTAAAACATGTCGTGTAAAACTAAGTCAAAATTGTGACTAAAAAAACAATGACATAAATCGAAATTATGACGTTAAATCAATGTCATAAAAAGTCGAAACTGGTAGCCAAGTCAAAACTGTTATAAACAGACAACATTATGACAAAAGTCTTAATTATGACAAAAAGTCGAAATTTTTAATCTCAACTTTCTGTAAAGGTGCTTTGAAACGACGTGTAAATTGAATTGAACTTTTTATGTCATTATTTGAGTCGCATGTGTTGGAAATGGGCTTGCATACAGTCCTGAGAATCGTCATGAGATGCGAAACATCCGAGCGCTTGATTTGTTCGTGATTTGGGGGAGAGCCGGACATGTGACCAGGGTGGGAAACTTTGGGTATACGCGCCACAGTGGCGGGAGAAGTGTAAAAAGCATTTTTATTGGTTACTGTTTAAAACATTCCTTGTAACGGATTGGACAGTTTTTGTCAAAGAATGCTGTTGCTAAGTAACAATGATGCACTTTTGTCGAGTAACACGTTTGATTGGTTTTCAGTGAGTCTGAACCATAGATATCTAAATAAAGGCTAGATATCTCATCCACGCTGCTGGCCAATGGAGGTCGACGTCTGCACTGGCGGCCATCTTGTCACAGGCAGCTCGCTCACTCGTAACATTGTGTTAATGGTACATGTACTATTTAAACGACCATAACTTGCTCAATTTTCTACCGATTTTCAAACGGTTTGGTTTGTTATAAACGTCAGAGATGTGGTTATGAAACTGCATACTTATGAATAAAAAGTGTATAAATAAATAATCATCCAGATAATTACATAAAAACTGATGAGGGCCACGTAAAGAAAAAGAGAAGGTTCTTTTCCAACAAGTGACGCATTGATGACGACCGTACAAATCGTCAATAATTACAATACAATCGTCAAAAAATGATGTATTGAAGCAATCCAAAATATGCTAGTGCACTTTCCTTCCAAATTTGAATTGTGGAAAAAGTGTGTTAAGATTGGGCATCCATCAATCTGTGTGTGAGCCGGCAGGCCTCATCGCTGTTCATGTGGATCATATGTATTGCTGGGGTTTCTGGGTTTTGGAGGCAGAGTTCAGGGTTTTGTGTTTCTCTGCAGGATCTCCGTGACCTGCGGTCGAAGCTTCTGAATCGATGAACACAAAGGAAAAGGAAAAATGAGAAGGAAACATTAGAACAATTACTTCTGACGTCACAAACCACCTTGTAACCAATCAGATCAACGTGTGATCGTCAACCAGTGGATCTCTGAGTGAGTGAGTGGAGGCGGGGCTCATTTGCATATTCATAGCACCACGCATACTAAATGAGGCAAGGGTGTCGAGTTACATTCAAGATATTTTAAGGCAGGAAAAAACCTTTAAATATGTAATTTTGTTGATTTTTAACAGGAGGACTTAAATAGTTAAAATGTCAAGAGTGGAAAAACCCATGTAAAGCGATATATATACTCTATACTGAACGTAATCACGAAATGTAACTATATAACTATCCGGCTCTAATCTGCTAAATTCAAACAGAAGGCATGAAGATATTAAAATATAACCATTATTTAAAAATGGTTTCCTTTTCCACGTTTTGTGTTTGTTCGTGATGTGAACAGGCCTTCAGAGTTCATATGAAGTTATATAAATGTATTTCTTACTCTGTAGATTTGACAGCGCGTGCTCCAAACCCTTCATAGCTTTCGCCTGGTTACTCCTGAACCGGGCCAAACCAAACTCCTACAGGAAGAAGAGACACACCGCTAACAAGAGCCACATTTCACTCCAACACAGGAACGTTTAGTAGCAATGCATCGATACCAAACTTTTGCCTGATCACTTATATTTGAGAGTGTAAATGTAAATCTCATTTATCTGTCAATATATCGCTTTTTTTTTTTTGACGTTTTGAAATGTGGATTCTGTAAAGCACTTTGGTCAACTTGTGTTGTGTTTAAATGTGCTGAAGAAATACATTTTTATTATTATTATTAAATCAGGGTGTGTACACACTGTAAAATTAAAGGACTACGTTTTTGGTTTAAGGACTACAATCAGAGATCTCACTTATCAAACAATATCCTCATATCAAATTTAAAAAAAGATTTAAAAAAAACGCTTTCCTTATTCAAACTGAGTCGTCCGCCCATGAATATATGAGTGACCTGAAGAATTAAAGCGTTATTAATTGAATAATTATATGTAACACTCATAGCCATGCGAAGACGAGCTTCGGCGTGTGAGAAGATTGTTTTATCGATTAAATTAAACCCTAATTTCACATATATTGTCTTTCAATAATTCGGGTACTTTGAGCATTTTAAGCTCCTTGTACGAACCCTGGTTTAAATCTTTATATCATTTTAACCTGATTTATAAATCTTTACATCATCAAACACACAATTATAATGATTTATGTCGCTTATATGACAGACTTGCGCTGCACATGTTGAACTTTACTGTGTGTTGAAGTGATTCCAGTTATATTTACAACCATCATGTTGAACAGTGTGTATCTGAAGGAAATAATGTATTATTTTATCAGCTTTAATATTTCTTATAACATTAAAAATGCAAATATATCGGCTGATACTGATATGGTGACGATATATCCTGCATCTCTAACGTTTAGGTCAACTTTCAATCTCTAAATATCTTTTCTCGGTAACACTTTACAATAAGGTTGATGGTTAACTACATTAGTTAGCATGAATTAATAATGAGCTGCACTTATACAATTTCAACATTAACTAATACTTAACATTAGTGAATGCACATGAACAAACAATGACCAGCTGTTTTTATATTAATTTAAATTAACAAAGATTAATAAATACAGTAACATGTGTTGCTCACGGTTAGTTCATGTTAGTTAATAACTAAAACAACTTATTGTAAAGTGTTAACCTTTTCTCTAGCTTGTTTTTTAGTGTTTGGGCATTAGTTGTTGGCGAAAGCAAGACGTTGACAGGAAGTGTGTGTGTGTGTGTGTGTGTGTGTGTGTGTGTGTCACCTGTATGGGTCTGGAGAGGCCGAAGACTCCTGATGAGATCCAGGCTTCCCTGGTGATCCGAGTCCAGACAGGCCGGTCCCGCTCGCCGAGAAACACACAGCGCTCCACGACACGCTGGTGACACACACACACACACACACACAATGCAAGTTTTGTTTGTCATTTAGTTCTTATTGTACTGCTGATTGTTTGCTTGTCTTTTGTAATTATTGTGAGGGCCTTTTTCTAAGATTAGTTCACCTAGTATTAGCATATTATGATCACATCCAGATGGAACTGGATAATATTCGGATGTTCTGTCCAATCTGACCTCTGACCTGTCATGCTGAATGCCTGAATCATAATCATGCAAAGGTTAATTTCAGTAATTCAACTTAAAAGGTGAAACTAATATATTATATAGACTCATAACATGCTCATATACTGTATATATATATATAAATTAACTAAATTAATAACATTTTACAACAAAAAGGGATGATTAATCGCATCCAAAATAAAAGTTTGTGTTTACATAATATATGTGTGTGTAGTGTGTATAATTAATTTGTATATATAAATACACACACATGCATGTCTATATTTAAGAAAAATTTGTTATTAATATATCAAAATTTTTTATATTTATATATAATATTAATTGTGAATAAATATATATAAAATACATACATGCACGTATTTCTTAAATATATACAAAGAAAAATGTGTTCTTAATATATCAAATTTATATATAATATTAATTGTGAATAAATATATACATGCACATATTTATTAAATATATACATGCATGTGTGTGGGTATTTATATATACAAATTAATTATACACACCACACAAACATTTATTATGTAAACAAAAACTTTTATTTTGGATGCGATTAATCACTAACTGTGACGCTCTTCTCATCTGGAAACACACTTTGTTGCATTATTTTCCTGTTATCTCTGTAAAGCTGCTGTCATGATCAGTGTGAGTGCCCATTATTGCCACCAGAGGGCACTCCACCCTGGACTATTGTCATTCCCTAATGAAACTACATTTCCCATAACTCTCTGCCTGGACTCGTCATCCCTGACTGCATCTGAGTCTCATTACCTTGTTTAACTCGCGTTATAATAGCCTGGTTTTCACACTCATTCCCTGCGACGTCTTGTAAGTGTATAATAAGACGTGTGCATTTCTAAATGTTGTGGTTTACCATAAACGTGGCATGATTTATGTTCCAGGTCATCGTGGTGAGGCTTCTGTTTGCGGGGTCGACGACGGAGTCCTCGATGATGTAAACCGAACGCGACAGGTTTCCCGGGAAGACGCGCTCCGCCCAGCGAGGCATGCGATTGGTCTTCGTGAAGAGCCGGCGGGACAGGAGCAGGTTATCTGACGTCACCTCGCGAAAAACCACGTCTTCCGTCAGAACATGAGTGCTGAGAGGAACACGGTAAAGACACGGCGAAAAATAGTCAACATTGACGACTTGGTTTTGAAACACTGATGGAAACTAGCACTTGTAGCTAACTCTGGCTTGTTCACAGCACAAGTAACTTGTTTGTTGATCAATGAGCATTGTCCCCGTCAAATAAAAAAAATAAAAAGTCAAAAGACGTAACGAATTTAATGAGGGAAAGAACTACAATCCCATGATGCACTGCGAATGACAATCTAATTAATTATGCATGTAGAACTATTCAAACTTTTTATGCAAAAATGTGCATATCTATCTATATACAGGTGAAACCTGTCAAAATCATGCATTCAGTAATTCAAGCTGAAACTGATATATTATATAGACTCATTACATGCAAAGTGAGATATTTCAAGCCTTTATTTGTTATAATTGTGATGATTGTGAAAACCCAAAGTCAAAATTAGAATATTGTGAAAAGGTTTTCATATCTGTAATCCATAATAAATCACAATTATCACCAATAAAGGCTTGAAATATCTCACGTTGCATGTAATGAGTCTATATAATATATTAGTTTCAGCTTTTAAGTTGAATTACTAAAATAAATGAACTTTTGCACCATATTCTCGTTTCACCGGTGTACACAGAACGTTCCCCTAACGTAAATGTTGCCGTTTGGATATTAATTTGCCACCATGAAAGAAAGAATGTTCCCAGAATATTTCAGGGTAGTTATTTTTAAATAGCCTGAAAAAACGTATACCGTCTGTTTTACAAACCAAAAACTAACGTTCTATTTCCATTAAGAAAACTTTACTAGCTTACCAAAAACAAACCTAAACCTAAACCTAAAACGTTCAGGAATGTTAAAATAACGTTTTACAAACCAAAAACTAACGTTTTCTGATAAAAATTGGATCAGTGTGTACGTGTACCTGTATGGGTTGGGGTATCTCTGCCAGAAGGCCGTGGACACCTGCTCCCACACACTCTTGATGTCCGTCTCACTGAAGAAATGCTTCCCCATCACGAGCCCAGCAGAGCCTGAACACACAATCAAACAAACACTTCCTCTTTTCAGCTTCTCTTCTAGAATTTTAGACCTTCATACATATAAAATATGCTGGTATTAAATATGCTGGTACTAAATGATTATCTTATTCATATATCATGGTATTTACATGGTACAAAAAAATGCGTAACACATTATTTACAGTGTCCTTCACAAGATGTAAACAACACTGGTCCAGAAACACTTCCTGTTTCAGTTTTTTAACACTACATAAAAGCTGGGATAAAATACAACCAACAGAACATTTAAAACTGAATCAAAAAGTTAAACAAACATCTTTAAGATGTTTTCTTTACATGTGAAATAAAGAAAACAGCTACAAACTCAAACAGGAAGTGCTTCTGGACCAGTGTTGTTTACATCTTGTGAAATGGTCATGTACTTACCATAGTAATAACAGTAAATTATGCATAAATACATGCAACTTAGGCCTAACCCTCAACCAAACCCAAACTCTATAGTAAATGTAGTTGCATAATATTATTCATTAATTAAATATATAATTACACAGTAAAAATGACAGCCCAATAAAAAAGGTGGGCGGAAAAGTACGGTTGCCATGGAGATTTCAAAAAAGTCTATCGACCGGAAGTAGTATTAGGAAGGAGATAAACACACCGATACACCTAAAGCCGGGCCACACAGAATCAGACATTAACAAACACACTCCGAATGAATGTTCAGAGCCTTATTAGAGCTTATGTGATGAAACATTCATGTTAAACGGGTTTGTCGTTTATCTTCGTAATCCGCTTTAGTTATAAAACAACCTAACTTACTCCTCTCCTTTATGAAGCGATTATTAGACAGATTTAACTTTAATTACAGCTCTTAAATGAACCAGTTTCTCTGTTTTTTTTAGGTGTATTCATTTTTCCACATTATTATCAACTCTATTATCCGTCTATTGTCCAAATAACGTTAGCGCGTCCACCATCAGTAGCGCGTGCACGAGACATGAGCGAGAAAAACGTATGAACGCGAATTATCCCGAATAGTAGCCGATTAAACACGGATATAAAGTGTGAAACAGAAACGTATTTTACTTAGTAAATTCACTCACTGAGATCCTGCAGCTCCGCTTCAAAATCACCGACATCCGCTGCATTTCCGCCCTCTGTGCACGTGCACGCGCACGTGCGCGCGTCCGCGTCAAAAGCATAGACAGGTCAAAAGTAATAAGAGTACAATTATTATTACTAGGTGTAAGCACTCTTAGTAATGTTCTAAAATCAGCTATGTAATTATACACACATACATATATATACATATATATAACATATATATATATATATATATATATATATATATATATATGTGTGTTTATTATTATATAAATTATTGATATGTAAAAAAATTATATTTATTATTACAATTGTTATTATATATATTATTATAATGCAATTATTATATATATATATATATATATATATATATATATATATAGTCTTTTAAGAGTCTTATGTAGGTGACACAATTTAAGAAAAATTAAAAACCTATTATTTAATTAATGTTGTGTTGATATTGATGATATATGTATATATATATACAACTAAAATCAGAGTGAGAGCGACTTATTTAATCGGATTACATAAAACATGAATGCAGAAAATAATGTAGGTAATCATGTAAAACAAAAAAGAACTGAGGAAATTACTTTTCGGGTTACTGCAGTTCCCAGTTCAACCACTAGATGGAGACGCCATTCTACTTTTAAAACTTATTGTAGATCCGAGCACTAAAATAATATCCTGTAAATCATGAACGCACTCAGCACATCAAACGCACTTTCATTAGATTATTATTACATTATTATTTATAAATAAAGTCATTCAGTCATTTGTGTGTCTCTTTTAAGAGTCTTAAATAGGCTACACAATTTAAGAAACAACTTAAAACCTATCTACTAAAATGTTGAATTGATGTTGTGTGGACACCAGCAACAGTTCAAACACACGTGAATAATAGGAAAGTATGTAAATGTGTTTTAATTGTGGTCGTGTGGATGAAGGACGCATGTGCAGAAACTCCTCATCATCCTCATCCTTCAGTCTGAATCTCATTACAGTCTCACAACCTCCAGAGCAACACACACACACACACACACACACACACCTGTCGACATGAACAGATCTTACTACATCTGCACGGTAAGAGCTGTTTACTATCTAGAAGTTTCAAACGGATCATAAATGAGCTGCTGGATGACCTGTGTGTTGTTGCAGATGTGTTTTGTGATGTGTGTGTTTGGATGGCATGATCTGGATAACAGTGAATATGATTGCTGGCCTCTGGACAAACCAGATGAACTCAACATGATCGACTGCGGAGGTACGACACACACACACACACTCACGCACGCAGATATGCACTCACTTATACACACACGCAAACGTTTGATGTTTGTGTGGCTGTGTATATAGTGTCGATATATGTGTGTGTGTCTGTATATAGTGTCTATATAAGTGTGTGTGTGTGTGTGTGTGTGTGTGCGTGCGTGTGTGTGTTGTTTTCTAAAAATGTAAAAATGCTGAAAGGTATAAGTACTGATGCAGTATAAAAAAAATCATTGTCTATGGAAAGTCCCCATAAAACGTGGAATGCTAACGTGTGTGTGTGTGTGTGTAGGTCTGGAGATGGCGTGGGTCCTGCGTCCTCCAGAGAAGGTTCTGAGCGGTGAAGATTTCTCTGTCATTTACTCGGTGACCGTCAGAGATGAGTTTTACCAGTGGGCCGTCGACAACAACATCTTCATACACCGGTACCATGATCTCATATCTATACAGACAGACAGATATAGACAGTCAGACAAACAGATAGATAGATAGATAGATGGACAGATAGGTATAGACAGATAGAAAGACAGACAGACAGATAGATAGATAGATAGATAGATAGATAGATAGATAGATAGATAGATAGATAGATAGATAGATAGATAGATAGATAGATAGATAGATGTACAGATAGATAGATAGATAGATGGATAGATAGATGGATAGATGACAGATAGGTATAGACAGATAGATGGACAGACATATAGATAGATAGATAGATAGATAGATAGATAGATAGATAGATAGATAGATAGATAGATAGATAGATAGATAGATAGATAGATAGATAGATAGATAGATAGATAGATAGATAGATAGATAGATAGATAGACAGACAGATAGATAGAGAAACGTATAGACAGAAAGACAGACAGATAGATAGATAGATAGATAGATGGATAGATGGATAGATAGATAGATAGATAGATAGATAGATAGATAGATAGATAGATAGATAGATAGATAGATAGATAGATAGATAGATAGATAGATAGATGGATAGATGACAGATAGGTATAGACAGATAGAAAGACAGACAGATAGATAGATAGATAGATAGATAGATAGATAGATAGATAGATAGATAGATAGATAGATAGATAGATAGATAGATAGATAGATAGATAGATAGATAGATAGATAGATGTACAGATAGGTATAGACAGATAGAAAGATAGACAGACAGATAGATAGATACACAGATAGACAAACAAATAGATAGAAAAACAGATAAATATAGACAGATAGAGATAGATAGATAGATAGAGAATAGATAGATAGATAGATAGATAGATAGATAGATAGATAGATAGATAGATAGATAGATAGATAGATAGATAGATAGATAGATAGATAGATAGATAGATAGATAGATAGATAGATGGATAGATAGATGGATAGATAGATGGATAGATGACAGATAGGTATAGACAGATAGAAAGACAGACAGATAGATAGATAGATAGATTAGATAGATAGATAGATAGATAGATAGATAGATAGATAGATAGATATAGACAGATATAGATAGACAGAGAGATATAGACAGATAGATATAGACAGATATAGACAGATAGACAGAGATATAGACAGATATAGATAGACAGAGAGATATAGACAGATAGATTGGGTACAGCTTATGTCTTGGAGTATCTCAATAGTATCGTATCGTGAGTTCAGTATTAGTGATGTATCGAATCACTACTCGTTTAGAGACCACTCTAAGGGATTGGGCTCCCAGGGGTCGGACCGGCGTAATGTTGAACGTGACTGACTGAATGGGGACAGCTGGTATAGTGCAGATTGAGTGTGTGTGTTCTCCACCAGGTCCATCACGGATCCGGCTGAAGCCCGGCGCTTCTGCGAGCAGCACGAGTGTCCCAGCAACTGGAAGGACGCGAGCGGAGAGAACTGCTGCATTCATCATGCCAACATACACTCCTGCCCCATGGGATACATGGTACCAAACACACACATGCTGAATAAAGAACATATGTGTGTGTGTGTGAACCTCAGGAAACCTCACTGTCATTGTTGTGTTTGTTGTGTAGAAACAAGCGGAGGAGCGAATCTGCGGCCCCTGGATCCCCGACGACGGGCGGATATTCACTCACACCATCTCCACTTCTGGAACAATGACCCAGACCAACTGGAGCTCCAAGGTCCTACACACACACACACACACACACTCTCTCTCACACACAGAAGCGTTTGTAAGTTCATGTCAGTTGCGTTGTGTTCAGGTGGTGCTGTTCCACGAGGGATTGACGTCTCTGATCGCTCACATCCGTGTGGGAAACATGCAGGTCGCGCTGGAGGCCAAGAGCACCGTCCTGCCCGCCATCAGTACTGTATCTGTGTGTGTGTGTGTGTGTGTGTGTGTGTGTTTCTTTCTTCACACTAAGAAAAAAATATTCTTTGAAGAACTGACCTCTGAAAGGTTCTTCGGGGAGCCGGAGATGGTTCTTGTAAACGCCTGGCAGAGCCTGATCTCTGATAGACAGATATAGACAGATAGATATAGACAGATAGATAGACAGATATAGACAGACAGATATAGACAGATAGATAGACAGATAGACAGATATAGACAGACAGATATAGACAGACAGATATAGACAGACAGATATAGACAGATATAGACAGACAGATATAGACAGATATAGACAGACAGATATAGACAGATAGATAGACAGATATAGACAGATAGATATAGACAGATATAGACAGATAGATAGACAGATATAGACAGACAGATATAGACAGATAGATAGACAGATAGATAGACAGATATAGACAGACAGATATAGACAGATAGATAGACAGATATAGACAGATAGATATAGACAGATATAGACAGATAGATAGACAGATATAGACAGATATAGACGGACAGATATAGACAGATATAGACAGACAGATATAGACAGATATAGACAGACAGATATAGACAGATAGATAGACAGATATAGACAGACAGATATAGACAGATAGATAGACAGATATAGACAGACAGATATAGATAGACAGATAGACAGATAGATATAGACAGATAGATATAGATAGACAGATAGATATAGACAGATATAGACAGATATAGACAGATAGATAGACAGATATAGACAGACAGATATAGACAGATATAGACAGACAGATATAGACAGATAGATAGACAGATATAGACAGATAGATAGACAGATATAGACAGGTATAGACAGATAGATATAGATAGACAGATAGATATAGACAGATATAGACAGATAGATATAGACAGATAGACGGATAGATAGATAGATAGATAGATAGATAGATAGATAGATAGATAGATAGATAGATAGATAGATAGATAGATAGATAGATGGATAGAGAGAGTGTGTGTGTGTGTGTGTGTGTTTCTTTCTTCACACTAAGAAAAAAATATTCTTTGAAGAACTGACCTCTGAAAGGTTCTTCGGGGAGGCGGAGATGGTTCTTGTAAACGCCTGGCAGAGCCTGATCTCTGATGTGTGTGTGTGTGTGTGTGTGTGTGTGTTTCAGTGTGTGGTGACAGTGTGTGTGAGGAAGAGGAGAGCTGCTCGACGTGTCCCGCTGACTGTGGAGACTGTCCTCTGAGTTCTGCTGTACGAGCTATCATCGGCCTCACCGTCACCTTCATCGTCATCAGCTTCGTCAGCAGTGCCATGGTAAAGAGCAGAGAAACTCTACAAAGATTTAATACAGAGTTTGACACTGAAAATATTCATACTCATTCTCATAGCCACGTAGCAACCACCCAGAGTACCCTAACAACTGTCGAGGAACACCCTAGCAACCGCATAGCAAACCCCTAGCAACCACACAGAATACCCTAGCAACCAACACAAGTACCATAGCAACCACATAGCAACACCCCAGCAACCACCACAAGTACTTTAGAAATGGTATATCAACACCCTAGCAACCACTCAGAATACCCTAGCAACCGCATGAAAACCACCATGAGTATCATCGCAAGCCCCTAGCAACCACTCAGAATACCCTAGCAAGCGCATAAAAACCACCATGAGTACCATAGCAACCACATAGCGACACCCTAGCAACCACCCCGAGTACTTTAGAAATGCCATAGCAACACCCTAGCAACCACCCAGAGTACCCTAGCAATACCATTTTGTGTGGAAATATTAAGAAGTCTGTAAACTGGTTTTGTGCAGGTGTGTGTTATGTAGTGAATGCAGTGGTTGTCTCTCATTTCAAATGGCTACAGATATTTTTTAAGGCCAGTTTTCCTGTTTTAGAGCAAACTAACAAAAAATAAATGTGCTTAAACAAAGAAAGAATCGGCAACCGGTATCAGAATTGGCTGATTTGCTTGTAATTGAAAAAAAAATGTAATTGAAAAATTGAAAAAAAAAATGAAAAAAATGTAATTGAAAAAAAAAATTTAATTGAACAAACATACACACACACACACACACACACATATATATATATATATATTCACACAGAATTCTATATACAGCTTTGTCTGGTTTGAAACATTATCTGCCAGTATGATGATTTGATTTGTGTGTGTGTGTGTGTGTGTGTGTGCAGTGGTTTAAATATCAGAAACAGAAACTCTTGTGGGATGAGAGCTGGATCATCGACTTCAATCACATTAAACAAGGTGAGCGAGAATCCAAGTGTGTGTGCATATGTTTAAGTGTGTGTGGCTTTGTGTGCATGTGTTTGTTTCAGTATCTAAAATGTATGTGTGTGTGTGTGTGTGTGTTCAGATTACATTGCCCGGGCGACCATGGGCAGCATCATGAGCGTCCCAGCGGCGAACAGCGACTCTAACGCGAGCTGTGTGACGGGCCTGAGCTCCTACACCGGCGTCCCCACGACACGCAAACAGCTCTACACACACACCGGCATCTAGTGAGTTCATACACACACACACCGTAAGCAAATTTTGGCTCGGTAAGATTTTAATGTTTTTGAAATAGTCCCTTCCGCTTACAAAGGCTGCATTTATTTGATTAAAAATATAGTAAATCAGCTGTTTTCAATGTGAACTTCGTAAAATGTAATTTATTCCTATGATCAAAACTGAACGCTGCTTCATATTTGTGTGGAAATCATGATCTATTTTATTTCAAAATATTTTTAAAAAATATTTATTTTAGTAAAAAATTTATTTTAATTAGTTTTGATAAATAAAAAATTCTTCAATATCCGTGATTGTTTGATGAATAGAAAGTTCAACGGAACAGCATTTTTTTTCATTAAAATAATTAAAATTGAATTTTTTGTAACATATAAATGTCACATTTGACCAATTTTATGCGTCCTTTCTGAATAAATGTTAATTAAAAAAAGATGATATAAGATATAAAATTTTATTAATTCTGTTCCATCTTTCCAGTGATGGACGAACCGTTGCCATCAAGAAAATAAAAACAAAAACATTTTCTCTCTCGAAGACGATTCGCCAAGAGGTGAAGCAAGTCAGGTGAGAATGACTCGAACACGACATCATCATCATCGCCTTCCTCGTCACGGTTATCAGTGTGATCCAGGTGTGTGTGTTTGTCTTCAGGGAACTGGACCACCCGAACCTCTGTAAGTTCTTCGGAGGTTGTGTGGAGCTTCCCAACATCGTCATAGTAACAGAGTATTGCCCTAAAGGAAGCCTGAATGACGTCCTGCTGATCGACGAGATTCCTTTAAACTGGGGTTTTAGGTACACACACGCACACACATAGGTACACACACACACACACACACGTCCACTCACATACTCACGCAAAATGACACGTATATAAAACAACAAATGTCAGTGTGTGTGTGTTTGCAGGTTCTCCTTTGCGACAGACATCGCTCGTGGGATGTCGTACCTGCATCAGTTTAAAATCTGCCATGGGCGGCTGAAATCAGCCAACTGCGTAATCGACGACCGCTGGGTCTGTAAGATCACAGGTACGTCTCGCCTGTAACATCTGTAACTCACCTGTGCCGTCTGTAACTGACCTGTGCCGTCTGTAACTCACCTGTGCCGTCTGTAACTCACCTGTGCCGTCTGTAACTCACCTGCGCCGTCTGTAACTCGCCTGCGCCGTCTGTAACTCACCTGTGCCGTCTGTAACTCACCTGTGCCGTCTGTAACTCACCTGAGCCGTCTGTAACTCACCTGTGCCGTCTGTAACTCACCTGTGCCGTCTGTAACTCACCTGAGCCGTCTGTAACTCACCTGAGCCGTCTGTAACTCACCTGTGCCGTCTGTAACTCCCCTGTGCCGTCTGTAACTCACCTGTGCCGTCTGTAACTCCCCTGTGCCGTCTGTAACTCCCTGTGCCGTCTGTAACTCACCTGTGCCGTCTGTAACTCACCTGTGCCGTCTGTAACTCACCTGTGCCGTCTGTAACTCCCCTGCGCCGTCTGTAACTCACCTGCGCCGTCTGTAACTCACCTGTGCCGTCTGTAACTCACCTGTGCCGTCTGTAACTCACCTGTGCCGTCTGTAACTCACCTGTGCCGCCTGTAACTCACCTGTGCCGTCTGTAACTCACCTGAGCCGTCTGTAACTCACCTGTGCCGCCTGTAACTCACCTGTGCCGCCTGTAACTCACCTGTGCCGTCTGTAACTCACCTGTGCCGTCTGTTACTCACCTGTGCCGCCTGTAACTCACCTGAGCCGTCTGTAACTCACCTGAGCCGTCTGTAACTCACCTGTGCCGTCTGTTACTCACCTGAGCCGTCTGTAACTAACCTGCGCCGTCTGTTACTCACCTGTGCCGCCTGTAACTCACCTGAGCCGTCTGTAACTCACCTGTGCTGTCTGTTACTCACCTGAGCCGTCTGTAACTCACCTGCGCCGTCTGTTACTCACCTGCGCCGTCTGTAACTCACCTGTGCCGTCTGTTACTCACCTGTGCCGTCTGTTACTCACCTGTGCCGCCTGTAACTCACCTGAGCCGTCTGTAACTCACCTGTGCCGTCTGTTACTCACCTGAGCCGTCTGTAACTAACCTGCGCCGTCTGTTACTCACCTGAGCCGTCTGTAACTCACCTGAGCCGTCTGTAACTCACCTGCGCCGTCTGTAACTCACCTGCGCCGTCTGTAACTCACCTGCGCCGTCTGTAACTCACCTGAGCCGTCTGTAACTCACCTGAGCCGTCTGTAACTCACCTGAGCCGTCTGTAACTCACCTGCGCCGTCTGTAACTCACCTGCGCCGTCTGTTACTCACCTGAGCCGTCTGTAACTCACCTGCGCCGCCTGTAACTCACCTGCGCCGTCTGTAACTCACCTGTGCCGTCTGTAGCTCACCTGAGCCGTCTGTAACTCACCTGAGCCGTCTGTAACTCACCTGCGCCGTCTGTAACTAACCTGCGCCGCCTGTAACTCACCTGAGCCGTCTGTAACTCACCTGTGCCGTCTGTAACTCACCTGAGCCGTCTGTAACTCACCTGTGCCGTCTGTAACTCACCTGTGCCGTCTGTAACTCACCTGAGCCGTCTGTAACTCACCTGAGCCGCCTGTAACTCACCTGCGCCGCCTGTAACTCACCTGCGCCGTCTGTAACTCACCTGCGCCGTCTGTAACTCACCTGAGCCGTCTGTAACTCACCTGTGCCGTCTGTAACTCACCTGTGCCGTCTGTAACTCACCTGTGCCGTCTGTAACTCACCTGCGCCGTCTGTAACTCACCTGAGCCGTCTGTAACTCACCTGTGCCGTCTGTAACTCACCTGAGCCGTCTGTAACTCACCTGTGCCGTCTGTTACTCACCTGTGACGTCTGTAACTCACCTGTGCCGTCTGTAACTCACCTGAGCCGTCTGTAACTCACCTGTGCCGTCTGTAACTCACCTGTGCCGTCTGTAACTCACCTGTGCCGTCAGTAACTCACCTGTGACGTCTGTAACTCACCTGAGCCGTCTGTAACTCACCTGTGCCGTCTGTAACTCACCTGTGCCGTCTGTAACTCGCCTGAGCCGTCTGTAACTCACCTGTGCCGTCTGTAACTCGCCTGTGCTTTGAGCAGATTACTGTCTGTGGGTTTTCCGGCATGAGGACTGCGCTGAGCCACTCACCACGTACCAGCAGAGACTGAAGGAGGTTTACACTCCACCTGAAGCCCAGAGCGGCAGCCAGGAGCCCACGCTGGCCGGAGACGTGTTCAGGTGCACACACATCCTTAAAACTCACACACACAGTATCATAACAGATTTTAATAGTTTTTTTTTTTATTTGCAGCTATTCAATAATCTTACTGGAGATTGCAACCCGGAATGATCCAGTGCCGGTGAGCATGTGTGTAAACGTCTGTCATGATTATTGACTGGTTGTCTGATCCCAATTATTGACAAATAATGTGTGTGTGTGTGTGTGTGTCAGGCGGATGACGGTTCTCTGGAGTGTGGCTGGTGTCCTACGCTGCCGGAGCTGATTTCGGGGAAAGCCGACAGCACTTGCCCCTGTCCTGCTGAATACGCTGAGGTGTGTATGAACTTGTACAAGTCTCATGAAAACATTCACCCCAAAACAAAAGAAAAATATATTACTTCAAGAAAAATAAGTCGGTTTTTGAGACTTTTTTAAAACATTTTCTGGGACAAGAACAAATGTGGGCGGGGCTTGATTTTGTCTGTTGCATCTCTCTCTCTCTCTGTTTCCATGCTATCAGCTGATTCGTCGATGCCGTGCTCATAACCCCGCCCACCGGCCCACCTTTGAGCAGATCCGCAAATTTGTCAACAAAATCAACCCACATAAAGTCAGTCCTGTCGACATGATGATGGAGCTGGTCAGTGCAACACACACACACACACACACTCTCTTTCACACATACACACACATTATGTTTACAGAAGTCTGTGCAAATAATTTATAAACCTAATGTTATCTAAGTGTAAAATGTCTTTACTAGTCATTCGTCAATATATTTCAGTATAAGTACATTTGGCCCTCATAAGTAGAGCTAAACATACATAAAATGCCCTTACAATAATAACAAACCTGTGTGTGTGTAGATGGAGAAATACAGTAAACATCTGGAGGTTCTGGTTGGTGAACGAACGCAAGATCTGATGCTGGAGAAACAGAAGACGGACAGACTGCTTTACAGTAAACTAACACTAATCTTACTAATGATGTATGTCACGTGAGGTTCTTAAGCCTAGTTCACACTACGTGATTTTAAGCCCGATTTAAGCCCGATTTGCAAATCGTTGAGTCGCCGACAAGTCAGGGTGTTTTCGCGTGCAAATCGCGGGCGATTAGCGGACGATTAACGCTCGCCAATCAGTTAGTGTGAAAGAGCCAACAACGCATCAAAGACAGCTCGCAGACAGCTCGCAGACAGGTCACCGAGCTCAGAAAAATATCTAGCATGCTAGATATCTCGCGCAGTCGCGCGACTCAATCTCAGTGATGTCATGAGTACAGCCAATCATAGCAACGCATGGGTTGAGGACACCAGGTAAATCTTACTTTTTCTTTTTTGCATTTTTTTTTTCTCAGAGCAGATCGTCGAGCAAACAGTGTGCAGCACTAGTTTCTGTCTGACGTCCATATTCGCGTGTTGTGTTCTTCTCTGCAGTTTCGCGTCATTTCTGGTTCGTTTTATTGCGTGGTTTTTCGTTACAAAACATGGTTTCTAGACCAGATAGAATCGTGTTGTTGTCTACTTGTTATTTGTTTGATTATTTTCAGGATTTAGACCGTATTATAGTACTGAAACAGCTCTCATTGAGTCACAAATGATATGCTCTTATCATCCGATCGTGGTTGTATCTCTATGTAGTGCGTTGTTAACTCGTGTAGTGAGTTACCTCCTGTTGTGGATCAATCACGTTGTGTTGTGTGGTGTGAACAGCTAAACAACTTGAACACTCATGATTTCACTGAGAGCAAGTCATATAGTGTGAACTGCACAGTTCAACCCGACATTTTAAAATCATGTAGTGTGAACTAGGCATTACCTGCACTGCACTCACAACCAAATCAATCCAAAACCACAGCCAATCAGAAGAGAGTATGGGCGGAGTCTCTCTGCAAGCGCACTGCACTCACAACCAAATCAATCCAAAACCACAGCCAATCAGAAGAGAGTGTGGGCGGAGTCTCTCTGCAAGCGCACTGCACTCAACCAAATCATTCCAAAATCACAGCCAATCAGAAGAGAGTGTGGGCAGAGTTTCTCTGCAAGGGCACTGTACTCACAACCAAATCATTTCAAAACCACAGCCAATCAGAAGAGAGTGTGGGCGGAGTCTCTCTGCAAGCGCACTGCACTCACAACCAAATCATTCCAAAACCACAGCCAATCAGAAGAGAGTGTGGGCGGAGTCTCTCTGCAAGCGCACTGCACTCAACCAAATCATTCCAAAATCACAGCCAATCAGAAGAGAGTGTGGGCAGAGTTTCTCTGCAAGGGCACTGTACTCACAACCAAATCATTTCAAAACCACAGCCAATCAGAAGAGAGTGTGGGCGGAGTTTCTCTGCAAGGGCACTGCACTCGCAACCAAATCAATCCAAAACCACAGCCAATCAGAAGAGAGTGTGGGCGGAGTCTCTCGCAAGCGCACTGCACTCGCAACCAAATCATTCCAAAATCACAGCCAATCAGAAGAGAGTGTGGGCGGAGTCAAAAAAACTGTCAGTGCAGTTAAATAGATAATATTACTCAATATTATTGTCTTTAAACCCTGATCCTAATCCTTTACAGTATCATAATAACGCCAGTGAGATCATGAGTGTTTCAATGATGTGCGTCAGTGTGTATCTGAGTTTAACAGGTGTGTGTGTGTGTGTGTGTGTGTGTTTCAGGTATGCTGCCTAAACAAGTGGCTGATGACCTGCGACAGGGAAAACCGATGCAAGCCCAGAGTTACGTCAGCGCCACCGTGTTCTTCAGGTAAACACTCATACACACACACTATCTCTCTCTCTTACACACACACATACAAAAACACACACACTGTTACATGTCAGTCTGTGTTTTGGACTTTCTGTTTCTCAAACTAACTCGAACTGTGATTGTGCTGTTCTGTGTTTCCTCAGTGATATTGTGGGCTTCACTCAGTTGTCCAGCACTAGTACTCCTTACCAGGTGGTCGACTTCCTCAACAAACTCTACACCACCTTTGACGAGATCATCGACAACTACGATGTTTATAAAGTGGAAACCATCGGCGATGCATGTATGTCATCAGCCAATCGTAATTACTGACAAGCCTTAGAGGAGCCGCTCGTTAATAACACTGACCATTTCAGACAGAGATTCAGAATGAAGGGTGGAAATAATAGTTATTCTGCATATACATATATATATACAAGAAACAATTATATATTATACTATTACATATATATATTAGGGATGTGCAAAAATTAATTGCGATTAATCGCATCCAAAATAAAAGTCTGTGTTCACGTAATATATGTGTGTGTGCTGTATATAATTATTTTGTATATATAAATACACACACATGCATGTATATATTTAATAAAATGTGTTATTCATATATAAAATATTTATATTTATATAATATAGATTATGTGTATATATATATATATATATATATACAGAATTTAAGCGCAAATTATTCTTAAATATATACATGCATGCATAGGTATTTATATATGCAGCACACACAAATATATTATGTAAACACAGACTTTTATTTTGGATGCAATTAATCACAATTAATTTTAGCACAGCCCTAATATATATGGTGAAACTCGATAAATTAGAATATCGTGCAAAAGTTAATTTCAGTAATTCAACTTAAAAGCTGAAACTAATATATTATATTGACTCATTACATGCAATGTGAGATATTTCAAGTAATAATTTTGATGATTATGGCTTACGGCTTATGAAAACCTTATTTTGAATTTGGGGTTTTCATAAACTGTAAGCCAAAATCAACACAAACACACACACAGAAGCTCTTGAAGCTCCGCCCTCGGCGCCGGGAGCAGCAGCTCATTTGCATTTAAAGGGACACACACAAAACAACCCTCAAAAAGGGACATGCTGTAAAAAAAATAATCTGTGAAGTATTTTGAGCTAAAACTTCACACACACATAACATAAGTGTAAATGAATACAGTTTCTGCGTGAGGTTTGTTGATGGATCGAGTGTTTTGTGTGCTGCAGATATGGTGGTGTCCGGAGTACCGAGCGAGAACGGGATCCTGCACGCGTCTGAGATCGCCAGCATGGCTCTGGACCTGGTGTCCGTGTGCAAGACCTTCAGGATCCCTCACAGACCTCAAACACAGCTCCAGATCCGCGCTGGAATACATTCAGGTCCACAGTAATCCTGCAACCAATCCACCTTATTCTGCGCCTGTTCTATTTCCCATGATTCATTGCGGTTTCAACTGACTAAACGCTTTTCCACTTCCTGTTGAAGTATTGTTTACATAGAATGCTAGCACTCTAGTCCAGACCACTCATCTATATACAATGATATATTATATAGATCGGTGGTCCAGACATTAGAAAAATATCAGTTTACACATGCGTTTTATATTCACGGACATGAAAGCGACTTTAAAACTTTCACCGAGATTTTAAAGAGAGACCACAAAAAGTGAATTTCGTTTTTACTAATTGAATCTTATTTTAAATCAATGTTTCATCAACCATTTGAATCTAAACATATACGTTTTAAAACTACAATTCATGAAAATACAAAAATAAAAAGGAATTCAAATTATTTTGAAGAACTATAATACAGTGGTTCATCAAAGCTGTCCTGATTGTTTAACTTTGATGAAAGGTTTCGATCCACGTCACATGTTCACTAGTATCTGAATGACGCCAAATCTGACTCACTGATCAGTTGTTGGTTGTGAGATGAGTGTGTGAGTCTGGCTTTATCTGACGCCGTCTTCAGGTCCAGTTGTAGCAGGAGTTGTGGGAACGAAGATGCCGAGGTATTGTCTGTTTGGAGACACGGTGAACACAGCGTCCCGCATGGAGTCCACCAGCGAAGGTAAGAAAAGCATCAGGTAAAGGGTTTCAGTTCTCAACACAGTTGTTAACCCTTATGTGCTGTTGTGGCTTTTTTCAGCCACTAAGGGGTATTTTTTAGTCTTAATTTGGCAGTAACTTTTTCCTTGTTTCAGCAAATGGAATGATTTTTGGTGACAAATCTTATTTTGACACATATTTTGGGAAAATGCTTTGAAATTTTTCAAAAACTCAACAAATTCACTATACCCTTTCGTTATGTTTGTGGCTGAAAAAAGCCACTACTTTAAACTGCTGTAAAAATGTATCAGATAAATATTTTTTTAAATGTTTTTTGCTATAAATCTAATCTAAATCTAAAAACTACTAAATGTTTAAAAAAAAAATCAGGATTTTAACTCTTTAATTGCCAAATTCATAAATGATGTCACTGATTTGGGGAAAAAAAACACACAAAATGACTTATTTTCAATATAAAATATGATTGTGGACTGGATTTTTTTTTTTTACCTTTTATCACAGTCTTGGGCATGTCAAAGATTAGAAACAACATTGGTTTTGATGCGTTGTTAGTTTTTGTGAACTTTTTCTCCCTCATTTACTGTTCGTGGATGTTTTTGCCCCATTGACTTCCATTATAACCACATTTTTTGATTGCAAAGCCATGACACCATAAAATCATGCATTTTTGATTGTTGATGGTTTTCCCTGTTGGGAAGAGGTAAAATGTGTAATTTTTACTGTTGATAACCAGGTGGAACCATTAACCCTTTAAACAGGCCTGTGCAAAAAAAAAAAAAAAAAAAAAACCTTAGTTTCTGGCTTTTACATGGAGTAAAAATGTAAAAAAAAAAAATGAAAAAAAAATTGATCTGATCCATTTTTACAGCAGTTTAAAGTAGTGGCTTTTTTCAGCCACGAACATAACGAAAGGGTAGTGAATTTGAACAATGCACAAGGGTTAAAAAATATCTATATATATTTTTGCATGCCAGACAGGTAATTTGGTGATGTCACCTTGTAAAGAAAGACCACGTGCCTGAACACATATATATGCAAACACGCCACGTATTACACACATGCACGCCGTCAGCACTTTCACAGACTCACGTTTTTTTAAGTTTGCACGGAGATGATTTTACATTTCAAAAAATGTAAAAACTTGCACCTTGGGACCGGTTTCAATCTGTTACTGTAATCTCCTGTTATTACCGTAAAGCTGCTGTGAAACAATCTATTTTGTTAAAGCGCAGGTGAGTTATGAAAAATGTTACAAAAGTGTGCGTGGTTCAGATGCCGAGAGGAGAGACGATTACAGTAACAAAACGAGCATATATTAAACATGCTTTTATAAGCTCACCATAAATGACATAAATACATATATTGGCGCATTTTCCACCCTTGTTGCCTTGTTGTTTAATATTCAACAATATTGATCTTCTTCATTGACAGCATTATATGAGAACTGAGCTGAGCTGGACGATGACATCACGGTTTTCTCATATATATAATTGAACTAAATTAATGCAGATATTCACATCTGTACTCCTCATCGAAAATATCCGTAAATGTGCAGTTGCATCTGTAATATTGTGTTTTTCTGTAGCGCTGAAGATCCAGTGCAGCTCCAGTGTGTTTTTCCTTCTGGAGGAGATCGGCGGATACACACTCTCCTGCAGAGGTGTGTTACAGGTGAAGGTGAGACACACTCCTGTTGTTCTGATGCTCACACTCACTACAAGTGCATCTTCTACACAATTTTATAAGATTTCTATTTAATGTAATCATTACGCTTTTGTTTTTGTTGGGGAAAATTCTGGTAACTTTATTATTAACTTTTATTGTCCTTGTTACATATTTACATTACCATAGTAATAACAGTAAATTATGCATAATTACATGCACCCTAAACCCTAACACTATAGTAAATACATGTAGTTAATTAATATTACTCGGTAATTAAATATATAATTATACTCTTACAGCGACACCCTAAAATAAAGTGTAACCAAAATGCTTTAATTTAATATTTTATTTATTATGCTAAAGGAAATAAAATCAAAACGAAATTGTGATCACATGTAAGATTTTGTGATGCATTACGTTAGTAAACAATCACTGATTTTTTTCTTATGTATGAAAACCGTCAGTAATAATTATGTTTACCAATTATAAATCAAACAAAAACTCCATAATTCTCAATATCAACACATAATGAATTGATAAATATAATTAATTAAACAAATAGCTAATAATAATATTGCCCAGCCCTGTTTAAAGTTGCATATATATGCATATATGTGCTATATGTGCTATACAGCAAATCTCTGCTTAATTTTTTATAATATTTTAAAATGTAACTATAATTTCGGTTAGTTATCTGCTAATGCGTGAAGGTATTAAGATATTATAAAGATTAGCATCATGATATTCTGTGAAGCTGCTTTAAATAGTTGTATTTGAAACATTGTATTTGAAACATGTTACAATATTTCTAATACAATATTGCAATGCATACAATCAAATGTTTACATAGTTACAGTATTTCAAATGTTTACAATGTTTTCAATGTTAATGTCAACTTTCAAATACAATGTTTACAATGTTAATGTTTCAAATACAATGTTAACATTGCAATGTTACAAATACATTATAAAAATCATAACATCGTAAACATTCCATTTAAACATTGTAACATTGTGAGCCTTATAACATTGTAAATGTAAACACTGTAATTGAAACATTGTAACATGTTCACAATGTTTCAAATATGTTTACAATGTTTCAAGTACACTGTAAAAATGGTAACATTTGTAATCGAAACATTGTGAAACCTTACAATGTTTACAATGCAATGTTTCAAATATATTGTAAAAAATCGTAACACTGTAAACATTGTGTATTGTGTAAAACTCTACACAAATAAACTTGCCTTGTGTTTTCTCAGGGTAAAGGTGACATGGTGACGTATTGGCTGGAAGGGAAACAGTCGTCGGCTCCAAGGAAAGCCTTTCCGCCGCAGGAGCTCGAGAGACCCGTGAGCGTCCCCGAACTACAGAAAGAGGATTACTCCAGCATCCCAGGAGTCCTCAGCAGCTCCGACAGCACTGGCCTCCTGTGTGACGCAGATACATGAACACTTCTTTCAGTTCAGTCATTTACACACTTCTGTACTTTAGCGCTTATATATAGAACCTTTTATGGGTTCCCATCATGGCATCATTATATGGATTTAGTTTTAATTCATTAATTTTGATTGGTTTCATTTAAAAAAAAAATGTTTTAATGAATTAAGCAGCTCATAAACATACTTTATCACCAGAAAACTATTGAAATATCCGGTTAAACGTGAAAATATTATGCTAGACATTTCTCCTTATGTAGAATATTTTGGGCATAAAGACTCACATTTTAGAATTGAGTCAAGAACCCCAAAGTTCTAAATAGAATCATAAACGGTTCTATCAGGCGCTTATATTATATATGGAACCTTTCCCATCATAGCCTCATTTTATGGATTTAGTTTTAATTCATTCCTTTTCGTTACATTGTTTATGAATTTAGCAGCTTATAAACATTTTATCACTAGAAAACAACTGAAATAACATGAAAGTAAAAATATACATGAAAGTATTATGCTGTCATTTAAGCCGTTTCTCCTTATATAGAATTATTTAGTATTTTAAAACTGTTCTATACAGAACCTTTGTATTTAAGAGTAAATATAGAGTTAGAGTTTGTGTCCTGTTTTATCATTGAGCACAGTAAAATACTGCAATATAGAAATGAAATGTAGTTTAGCTGATGTTTGTTATTGATTAGAAAAAACTGACTTTAATAACTTAGCATTTTTTTCTCTATTTTCTCGTTTGATCAGTCAGTGTTTGTAGCATCAGAACAATTGTGAAATATCCAATAATCGTAGTAAACTACATGTATATATATTAATAATATTAAAAAACAAAATGGCCATAATGATGGTGATATCCCAGTGATCGGTGATATTTATTTTCATGTCATTTTATATTACGAAACTCAGTTTGAGGAGGTTAGTAAGATTTTGTGTTTTTAAAGAAATTAACACTTTTATTCAGAGTAAGGATGCATCAAAAGTGACAGTAAAGACATTTTTAATCTCTATTTCAGATCTCTATTTCAAATAAATGCTGTTATTTTGAACTTTCAACTCAAAGAATCCTTAAAAATAAAATGTATTATGATTACTTTCCACAAAAAAAATTATTGATAATAATCATAAATGTTTCTTGATCATCCTCATATTAGAGTGATTTCTGAAGGGTCATGTGACACTGAAGACTGGAGTAATGATGATAAGTTCAGGTTTGATCACAGGAATAAATTACACTTTACTGTATATTCACATATAAAACAGATGATTTATAATTAGAATAATATTACACAATTTCTACAGTATTTCTGATCGAATAAATACAGTCTTGGTGAGCAGAAGAGACTCCTTGAAAAATATTAAAACCTTACTGATCAGAGATCAGTAAGATTTCAGAGGTCAGAGACTCCCTGATGCTCTGTCCATTTCGGTAACCTAAAAAACTGTATTCCATTGTTCCTATATTTTCCATATGTCTCGTGTGAGTTACTGGAGGAGTTTTTAACGCAGCAGTTACTTTCAGGCATGGTAAAACAGTGCGGTATTTCGAGAAACTCCTCTACTACCCGAGCTAAAAACACACGTAAACAATACTGTTTTGCCGTGGGAATCCAACCAACATGGCGGAGAGGGGAGGGGCTCTGTACAATGACGTCAACTCCTTATTCTCAGTCATAGACACATACACTAGACCTCACCTTGGGGTTCTAAACATGCGTCAAAACCGCCGCCATCTTGGAACAGGGGTCTTGTCATAGGAAGTAGCTAGGTAACGCTGCTATCTCTGCCTTTACTTCGAATTCATTGATGGTGGCGGACTTTTGTGCAGCGTATGAAGTTCACGGATGAAATCTGAACTAGGAAAAATGTTTAAAAAAAAAAAAAAAATTCTTTTAGGAATCAATGATAAATACATGTCTGACCGTTGGAACAAACCAAAAAAACAAGAAAAATCCCATTCATGATGATTTATGGTGATTTTATTTCCGTTAGACCTGTGTCTACTACACTGACGCTGATGCATTAAAGTGGAGGGGCTCCCCTGTTTCAAGATGGCGGCTCTATTGACGCATTCGTTCCAATGAACTGCCGTAGCCAAGGTGACGTCTAGTGTATATATCTATGATTCTCAGTCTGTTTGACGCACCCACCGCGAGCCTAGCTTAGCACAAAGACTAGAGGTACTTGGTTGCAGTTAGCCTACTAATCCAAATAAGTGAAAAAAATAACGCAAACATTTTCCTATTTACAGGTTGCGATTTGTATAGTCATAGAGTGTACAAAATACAAAGTTATATGAGACACAGACATATTTTAATCGTATAAATACTGGGATCTATATTCTCTGAAGGCGAAGCACTACTACTCGGGCGGAGTGAGAACCGCAGCACCTGAGACGCGCCGTGGCGAGGAGGAGCAGAAAGTTCGTTCAGAGTTTGAGATACAGAGACAGCAATTTATTAATAGTAAAAGCGTGTTTTACAATCATGGGTTTTCGCTGCAGTGTAAAGAGCTGCGACAATAAACAGGGGAGACCAGGTAATACCATGATGTTTCACAGAATCCCAACTAGAAACACTGACCGGATGAAGACATGGCTAATTGCTCTGAATATTGATCCAAACACACCAAAAGAGAGTATCAAGGGACATTATGTTTGCTCTGTACATTTCACTGACGACGACTATATTGAAAAAATGCAATTTGCCACAAGAACCACGAAACGTGTGCTGAAGGACACGGCCATCCCATCAAAATCACTTGCAGGACAAAGTGCTGCGGCTGCGGTAAGTAGCCGGTCCATTATCTTGTAGATGTTTAGCCTAACGTTACTGTAACAGTGCCATTAGCTAACTTAGATAGATTTAATGTAATGCTAGTGACACTACTATATGATTAGGGTGCAAATTGCAGTTGTTTACATGTATATATCCCCTGTAATCTTTGTATTGTTGCCTAGAACGCGCTCTGAACGCGTTTCACAAAACCAAGATAGCGGATTAAGCCGGGATTTTCCAGATATCTTGGGTGAATTAAGCCGGGAGTCTGTTTCACGAAAGCAGTAGCACATAAGTTACCATGGCGATTTATTATGTGCAGCTAGCCTGCTCCAGACCAGGCTAACAGCCAGTCAAGCTCAACAGCAAAATGAACATAGTTTTTAATCTCTAAAAGTAAAAGGCAAGTAATGCAATAATATATATGTATATATATATGTATATATATGTATATATATATATATATATATATATATATATATACCTATTAATATTTATTTCAGAAATGTACAAAATAGCCAAATTTCTACATTTGAATATTTTGATTTCTACACTAGGCCTATGGGTTGATAATTGATGTAGTATTTGTTCATCACTATCATCAAGAAAAACAGAAAACCCTAAATAAATATTAAACCTAAATTAGTATATTAATAGTGAAATATATTCCATAAATTCATTAAAAGACACTGTGTTTTATCATTGGGTCCTTTGCATCATTGCATTCACCAAGCTAGCTAGCTAATGCTCACGTGAAGTAATTTTTTCATGTTTTCTTCAAATATTTTGATTTTACCGCCTAGTTATACTGCATTAAAGTGTCAAATAAAGACTTTGATAAACAGAAATATAAACTATGCCCCTTGGGGGGCATTTCCCCCCACTCTACCCTACTCTTTTTCCGGGGATGGCGTCCGCTACCTGTGCAGACACTTACCAGTCTGCAAAATGTTCTTATATTTGCTCTTGACCTGTTGCCAGGTCCTCTTTGGTCCAGTCATGTTTGTTCTGTATAAATATTGATAGGATATGTAACAAAAAAGATTCACACTTTACAACATTGACTTGACTTCAACTGTCCATTTTTAAGTTGTTCATTTGAGCAAATGACAAGTAACTCCTTGAATGTATAAAAGATGTTGCTCATTTGGTGTGTGAAGTGTGCAGTGTTGGGTAAGTTACTCTAAAAAAGTAATTAATTACTAGTTACTAATTACCTCTTCAACAGTGTAATGTAGGCTAATTACTTTTAATTACTAATTACTTTCAAAATCCCATATCAATCTCAACCAGCTGAATCATACAAGGGTAGACATGAATCTGTTTTAATTTTTCTTTTCTTTTAGAAAAAGTCATATTGTCCAGCACGGGTAGGCTACTGTCTGTGGGTTCATTGTGCTATTACTTTTCCCTTATTCTAGCCTATTTTAATACAATTATCTGCCATTACTGTATTATATGCTGTTGAATACATTTGGTTCCGCTGTAATAAATTGCATTTTAGATGTATAATAATAATTTATTATTTTGTGTTCTGTGATATTTATTAATTAGGATGAGCCGAGTAACCTGCACCTGGATCAACTGGAATTTGAGGATGTTTCCAGCCTGTTTGCAGGTGTACCACACTTCACCCCCAGAAAAACCTGTACTGTACCTACTGCAGAGTTCAAAGCCCCACTACCTTTGCAGCTCAAAAGTCCTGCTCAGACAGCTACGGGGTCGGGGACAAAGGCATTGATTGCCTTGGCACCCAGCTGGACACGTCAATTGGTAGGATAATTAATAATTTATCATTCAATGGTGTTATACGTTCGGTGTGATAAATGTAACAAATTCTGTATTTACTTTATAGGACACTGCTTCATCGTCCATAATGATGCCTACCTGCAGGCCAGAAAAAAGTCTTATCTTTGATGTAAGTACAGGGTATATACAGTAATCCTCAAGTTAAATGTACTACTTTTTAATACCTTTTTACTACCTTCAGAATTTTTTTTAAAACCATCACGACACTGAATTGCAAGTGTTAACCAGCGGCCTTCCTATTACACATTTATAACATACAAAAATGAATAGATTTAGAGCACGCTGCTATGTTTAGTGGATTGCATTTGCGACCGAAGTGCATTAGCTCCCATCCAGTTGACATTGATGTTTTTTTACACACCAAACAATAGAGGGAATGCATTGACATCACTTTCCCGCCGGTACAACCCCCCTCAACCTGACTGACTGGATTGAATAGGGGAAACTATTAAACGAAAATGCGACTAAAACTAACAATTTGATCAATTTAAACTAAATGCTGGACTCAATATAGTTGGACTCCTGGATATTGATCCATGGATATTGACATGCAGCCAGCAATCCTGTCGCCTGACATTTATGTTTGCCTGATTTCAATAAAAGGGAAATAAAAGCAATATATAGATCTACATAGGCTAAAGCAAATTTGCCTGTGAACGCTTTATATAAATACAATATACTGTAGGTAGGTCTAAATCCGGGTGATCACTCATATCAGGGTTATATAGCCTCTATATATCGTCATATCGTCCAGCCACTGAATATATATGACATCAGCATCAAACATAGACAGAGATGAAAGATCTTTGATTGTGCCCAGATAAGCTAAAGCCCATGTTTATACGGACTAACGCAAACACAAAATAGGACACCTGATAGTCTGAAAAAAAAACCCCCAACAACCTAATTTAAAAAAAATAATACCTCTCAGACTACATTTAACACGTTTAATGGCCTTAAATTTGACCATTTTGATTTATCACTTTTTAATACACCCTGAAGTAGCAAGCCAGCTTCTCTATTCATGATGATGGGTAAAAAATATTATCAAAAAAAAAAAAAAAGTCAATTTAGATGCATTTTGATAATTCAGCTGACACTTATCTTGATCACCATGAAATGCCAAATATAACAGTCAAGTAATTGAATATTGAAAACCAGTGTTGTAGTACTCGAGACTCGGACTCGACTCGGTCTCGAGACCATATTTTAATGGTCTTGGTCTTGTCATGGACTCGTGTGCATTTGGACTCGGAATTGACTCGTACTCGAACGTTTTTTTTTAGGACTCTGACTTATTCCCGAGTCCACTCGAGTTCAATTAAAAGTATTTTTCATGATTATTAATGTATGTTAATAAAATATTTCTTTAAATTGATTGACACGCCCAGTGATTGGTGATTTTCTAGTGCGCAACTGCGCATCACAAATTGTAATAAAATTACTTTTAACACCACCTACTATGTGGCCTTTTTACCCTAAACTGATCATATTTTTTAAACTCTAAGTAAATTCAGTAAAAAAAAAAGTAAATTAGGTAATCAACCCTCTCTGGTCTCGACTCGGACTCGACCGTCTCTGGTCTCGGACTCGACTCGGACTCAAGTGAGGTGGTCTCGACTACAACACTGTTGAAAACCAACACGATCCAAACCCAGATGTGTGCTTCTAAAGGTGCCATGAGAAACTAAAATTTTACATGTTGTTTGGTCGTCAACAGGAAACACAACAAATTGATTATTCTGAAATGGATATCGGTTCAGCAACATCAGCCTTGGATATTAGCATGGCCTCTGAACCAGCCGCGGATCCTGCTGACTCCAGTTTCGTCCCCGCCACCTCTACCACAGGAAGCACGGCAAGCATGCCTGGACAACATGGAGGATGGAAAGAGAGAAAGTGGCTGGTAAATGAGTCCAAACTCATGGAACTCTTTAAAAAATGCACTGTTTGTGGATCTGAAGTGTGTGATTTGAACCAAATTGTGAAAACATCTGGCGCCAGCATCAGAGTAATATGGAAATGTAACAGTGGACACACCGGAGATTGGGAATCATGCCCAAGTGTTCGTGGAATGGCGGAGAACAACCTGCTATCAGCAGCAGCAACACTCTTCACCGGTGCTACCTACACAGATATTGCTGAGTGGGCAGAGCTTTTGAACATTCAGCTGCCCCATAAATCCACCTATTACAGTATACAGTCCAGCTACCTGATTCCAGTCATTACTGAAAAATACAAGAAGCAGGAGGACACTATAAGAGCAAGACTCATCGGCCAGACTCAGGATGGTGAGGGAGTACGGGTCTGTGGAGATGGGAGAAGTGATAGCCCAGGCCATTCCTGCAAATACACTACGTATTCCTTCGTGGATGACTCCACCAATCAAATTGTAACATTTGAGTTGATTCAGGTAAAAATTTTTTAACGATAAATATAATAATAAATGCGAAAAATCAGTCGCTGTTCTTAAACGTCTTATAGACCCCTTTTGCGCCGACGTCACAGTTACGTCACGGCGCTAGGAGGCGAAACTGGAGGCGGCCAATACAAACCAGCACAGATTCGGCTACATAATAAGGAGCTTAAATAATTGTTTCTATTATTAAATGTCATCTTGTTGTGTTGTTTCGTCCAAGAATTGATGAAAAATGAATATGCTGTATTTATTTCTAGAAAAAATTCACATCATTAAAATCGCACGGTAAAGTCACTATTTACATTGTCGTGGTCTCGGCGCTGGCTCGGCAGAACTGCGGATCGCAGTGTTGTAGTACTCGAGACTCGGACTCGTCTCGGACTCGAGACCATATTTTAATGGTTTTGGTCTTGTCATGGACTCGTGTGCATTTGGACTCGGAATTGACTCGTACTCGAACATTTTTTTTTTTTTAGGACTTGGACTTATTCCCGAGTCCACTCGAGTTCAGTTCAAAATATTTTTCATGATTATTAATGTATGTTAATAAAATATTTCTTTAAATTGATTGACACGGCCAGTGATTGGTGATTTTCTAGTGCGCAACTGCGCATCACAAATTGTAATAAAATTACTTTTAACACCACCTACTATGTGGCCTTTTTACCCTAAACTGATCATATTTTTTAAACTCTAAGTAAATTCAGTATAAAAAAAAAGGATTTCCCTAAGTAAATAAAAGTAAATTAGGTAATCAACCCTCACTGGACTCGGTCTTGACTCGGACTCGAGTGAGGTGGTCTCGACTACAACACTGGCGGATCGTACACACAAGTCTTGTACAGGAGGACCATATAGGCATCTAAAGATTTATAGTTTTTACTCATGTTTTTACGATCGGTTTCTCTATAAGGTAGGTGTAGAAGTCAGGCCACTCAACCGAGGTAACGTACGTTAATCCTGTCAGATCGTCCATGCATTGAGTGAGCGTGTAGGCGGCTACAAGTCGGCCAATCTGGTTTCTGTCCGTTAAAAATAACTTTTGGAAATAACAATCGTGGTCCTGGACACTGAGTGACCTTACACATTAAGATAATATCGTATTTTCTCCAGTCATTGTTAAAAAAACAAGCTAACAATCCTTGCTAACTAGCGTTAGTGAAGCGGCCAGATGGATCTTTCTGCCTCCGCCCACAAAAAAAACGTCACCATGTTTACCAACTGTAAAAGGGTCTATACTTTTTCCCTCTAGGTGACCCAGGCCAAAAGTTCTGTTGCCATGGAGCCAATCGGTTTCAAGAAAGGATTGGACAAGCTCCTAGATGAAGGCATCAATGTAAAGGTTGTCACAACTGACCGACATCCCTCTATCAGGAAAATAATGAGGGAGGATTTTCCAAATATAGAACACCAATTTGATCCATGGCGTACTGGAAAAGGTTAGTCGTCCGTCTATTGTTGTTGGTGTAAGCTTGTTCACAACTCCTGATACTTCGGCTGTGCTCTCTGGGTTTACTCTCTGGGTTTTCTGAAGTGTACTATTATTATAATGCTTTTCCTTATTTTAATTCAGGAATTAAAAGAAAATTGGTTTTGGCATCCAATCGCAAGAACTGCATGGCCCTTGCTCCTTGGATAAAGAGTGTGATCAATCACATGTGGTGGAGCTTTAGCTCATCTAAAGGAGATCCAAAGGTGCACAATCATACATTATACACACACAGACATATTGCAAAGGCAAAGTCTAATTTATTTCTCATATGCATATTTATACCACACAGTGTATTTTGACTACTGGCGTGCATACGTCACCTTTGGACATAGAATTTATTAATTAGGTTCTATTTTGGTTCAAATTATTTCTGTTATGACGATGCTGAATAGATTTCTGCTTGCGCTGTATTGTTACAGGAATTGTTGAGACGATGGAAGTCAATTCTCCATCATATCTGCGGGGTCCATCGCTGGGAAGAAGATGGCAAGGAACATACATGCTACCACACTGAACTGCCAGCGAACGAGCAAAGGAGGAAGAAATGGTTGGCCGAAGACTCCCCTGCCTACAAGGCCCTTTATGAAGTGGTGATGAATGCACGCCTCCTGAAAGACCTGGAACAAATGGCACTGTTCAAACACACAGGTATGTTTATCAAAGATTTCACAGCTTTTACAAAGATTTTAGTTTCTGTGGGAACCTTTTATGTGAAACAGTTTTACAATGTATTAGGGCTGGGTAATAAATATCGATTTCTCGATATTAATCGATTCTCATTTTTACGAACCGATATCGATTCTTAAATCTCAAGAATCGATTAGTCATCCTGTTTCAGTTGAATGAATGGATCATTGTATCGCGGCTGCGCGCATCCAACAAATCGCAATAATCTTTGTCCTTTGTTACTATTGATATGAAACAAAGTCTCAATTTTCTAATTACGTCCATTTTCTTTAGAAATTCAAAAACATAAATAGCGTTTTGTCGCTGTGGCGTGAGATCGCTCTGGAGAAGCAGCAGCGCTGATCTCTCTTCCGGGTTAATAATACCAGTTAAACATGAATGAGCATCTGAAAGTGTGTTAAAAGATAGAGTACAACTTATCGAAATCCGGATCATGTCACATTGATTCGCTCAATCTGCGTTTCAACCGTGGAAAGACGTCAGTTATACAGCTTGTAATCAATGTCATCGTCATATTTACCTCAGAAAACCCACATAAACTCGTTAATGTTCTTCAATATTTAATGCATATTTGAATAAATCTGGCACGTTTTTATGACAGCCACCATTTAAATGTTTATTTCATATAATCTTCTTATTATAAAAATAAATAAGTGTAATTTAAGTGTTTGTATAGCTACAAAACAGTTCATTATTACCTTCATATTAGGCTAATGAAGCCTATAGGCTACAACTAGACTATATAGACCATAGTTTACAGCATTTAAGAGATTTGATTCCCTTGAGAAAAATTGCCATTTATTGTAACTGATATCCAAAATAATCGATATTGAATCGAATCGAATCGAATTGCAAGCTTGTGAATCGAAATCGAATCGAATTGTGAAATTTGTCTCAATACCCAGCCCTAGAAGGTAATATTGCACCTCAGACGATAATAAAACTAAAATAACTCCAATGTTCAACAGATCATTCATACTACTTGTAAGCATTGTTCCATGTACTGTTTATAAAGTATTTTTCTATTTCTCTTTCACTAGGACAACTTGAGGTCTACCATAATGTTCTTCTAAAATACTGTCCCAAAAGTTTGCACTGTGAATATGCATCAATGCAAGCACGAACAATGTTGGCAGTCATGGACCATAACGAGAACCACGAAACACAACGTGAACAAGCAAAAACAGCGTCTGGTTAGTTCTAAACATATATCATATTATAAATAAAACACTATATCCTCCGGATATTTCAAATTTTGCAGCCATACACATGTCAGTATTGATTTGTATGTAATGTTTCACCTAAAAATATAATAGAACATATTTATCATTTACAAATCAACACTTTTGCTGGTATAACTGGAAAATAATATTACATTTTTTATTTATTTATTATTTAACCTTCTGAACAGAATCATAACAGACCAAACTCCTCAATCATGTTGATTTTCATTTCAGGCCTCCAAAGACACAATGTGATATTCCAAAAACAATCCAAACAATGGATTGCCCGACCAGTCTACCAGGAAACAACGCAGACTTTCAGGAACGAATTGATGGACGCAGTCATTCAGAGAAGGCTGGATCCATCGGTGAAATACCAAGATGTCATCGCCACAGTTTCAAAACCCAGGAAGGAGGATGTCATTGCCGGACACACATCAAGATTCACAGGTCCAGACTCATAATGGTATCTGAGATGGTTATAAATAAATAAAAGGATTTATTTATAACCCCACCCACCTATCACTCTTTAGTCCTGCTTTTCAGTATGTCACCACTGCCACCCAAAGTTCCCTTTTTGTTATTCTTGTATATAGTTTTTGGTTATTGTGGTACGGCAATTGTAAAATAAACAAGAATATTTCTCATTATTTCTCGTTCTCTTATCTGCCTTGTGTAGGCCAACTAGTTGTGCAGTCTTATACTGACTACACACGTCAATAAAAATGAAAACACAAATGTAGAAGTTAGAATAATTTATTTGAAGTATAAAATATAAAACAATAAATAAAAAAGAAACCAAAGTTTCACATATTTTCAAAATGAAATAAAACTCTGCTGTCTTGTAGGAGGTCAAAGGATGGAACATATGTGGAAAGAGAACAAAATGTTAGGCAGTGTAGTTCATAGACCAGTGCCAAAGTATCAGACAAGATGACTAGAATATGCAAAGTGTATCACAGACTAATGTATAGTCAGGGACGAAACGATAATATATTTCCTTGACTACAACTATACTGACATTTCTAGGTTGCTCTTTTATATTTTATGTTGTTATCTTTACTCACAGTAACTTTGTTCAGTTTTATACAACATATACAGTAATGCCAACAAAAACAAAATATGCAATTTGTATTCCTGCAATACCATAGTTTATGGTTTGTGTATGATTAAGACATGTAGTATAGGCTAATTACTTTATATATGATTGGTGTTGACTCATGCATACTTAGAACATTACAATTGCATCCTCAGCCTCTTGAAATCCCACATAGACACCAGTCTCTGAAGGATATTTTCTTCGAATGGCATCAATCACACATGATGGCAATGGTTTACGATTGCTTCTACCCAAAGTTTCTCCCTTCAGGGCCCACTCCAACACCATGCGGTAGGACACCAACCTGTATTGACTTAGAGCACAGAAAAAGTTGTATGAATAACTAGTAAATCAAGTGTACGGGTTATCATGACAGACTATTACAGTCAGTTGGCATGTGTGTATATTTTGTTTTTGCGTGTGTATACTACAATTGCATTATACTAATGTTACCTGTATGCATTATGATCATTCAAAATGCACTTACTTGGAGGACAGCTGTCCATTCGGTTCACTCGGCATGGGACGTTTCTTCCAGTTGATCTTGTCACAACGGGAAAAAAAAATCGACAACCGCCGGGTGTATCAGGGCAGAGAATTCCTCCATGATAGTGACGCAAAGATCTTCATTGTCATCACGACTTGCCATTGATGGCAATACCCGCTCCCATTCACTACAACAAATGCACTCGCTTTCTGTGGGCATAGGTTGACATGTTCCTCATTTACACCACCAGTCCGTGTGCGTTCGGATTCTCCCCTCGACCTCCTTAGTCTGTTCGGCATCTTGTCTATCAGCCTCAAAACTTTGTAACTCCTCGTCTGTGTATTCTGGCTCAAACCGATATGGTTCAGGATCTTGGTTTGATACAAAGTAAAAATCATCTGACATTTCCTCAAAATCAGCCATGATCACCATTCACGTCAGCTACTAGCTAGTTAGTCACGTTTGTTTTGTTGACGGAAGAAACAACGGCGCGTCTCAGGTGCTGCGGTTCTCACTCCGCCCGAGTAGTAGTGCTTCGCCTTCAGAGAATATAGTTCCCAGTATTTATACTATAAAAATATGTCTGTGTCTCGTATAACTTTGTATTTTGTACACTCTATGACTATACAAATCGCAACCTGTAAATAGGAAAATGTTTGCGTTATTTTTTCACTCATTTGGATTAGTAGGCTAACTGCAACCATTCACATCCAGTCTTTGTGCTAAGCTAGGCTCGCGGTGGGTGCGTCAAACAGACTTGTATCACGCATGGAGATGAAAAAGGTATGTATGGACTTATCTAACTTTGGGGGATAAGGTGAATAGGCTAAAGTCCCAAAAAGTCGGAGTGTTCCTTTAAGTTCTTCTCAGTATCTTCTTCAAGCTGTCGACTCGGGTAACTCTACTGTATTAGTGCTTTTGGATTTATAACGCTCAACCACTCGATTCATTTATCCAGACTTGAACAGTGTGTTGGCCTAAATGCACTGAGTTGCCGCCATGTGATTGGCTGCTTAGAAATTAAGTGTTAACGAGCAGTTGGACAGGTGTACCTAATAAAGTGGCCGGTGAGTGTATGTTGGATTGCATCAGTCATCTCTTCGTGGCTTTCAGTTAGTCCAGAATGTGGTTGTTTTTAAATGGGCTATATAAATAAACTTGAACTTAAATATTTTGTATGCACATTTAACATAAATGAAGGCATGGTGAAAAGATGGATAAACAGTATCTGGGTTACAGAGAGAGAATATGGTCTCAGGTGTTGATCTGAATGAGAAGATCTTCAGCGAATGACTGATGCGTGTGTTTAATTATCACAGACTGAGAGACAGGCAGAGAGACAGACAGACAGGCTGGTAAGTCCGTCACACATGTCGACTGCAGCTGATGCAGATTCACAATATCATCATATTGCATCTTCATCTGTAATGATTACACTACAGTTTGAAGCTTCTAAATAAATGAATGAAACTCTTTGATGAACTTAAAATATATATTTCAAGTAGATTTGTACTTTATTTTGTACTTTTAAACATTCTAAATAGCTACAAATTACATTTGAAATATATTTAAATATATACCGTATTTAAAATTGTAATAATTGCTTTTACTGTATTTTTTTTATCAAAAAAATGCAGCATTGGTGAGCAGAAAAGACTAATCATTGCTGATGATGAGTGCAATTCATAAACAAAATAACTGTCCATATCGTGTGTAAAACGACATGAGATCTTTTATTTTTGTAGATCAGTTGTATAGCATCATATACACAGATCTCAGTTCTACATGTGCAGTTTCTCGCCGCAGACGTGACCAACACACACTGATTATAAGCGGGCTGAGAGGAACAATCAGGCCGCCTGAAGGGTCTCGCTAATGAAATGCGTGAGCACCGCACGAGCACAAAAGAGCCATTCACTCAATCATTTCATTAACATCACACAGAGCGAACACAAGAAACAGACACATGATGAAAGCCTCGGAGATCCACAAACCTTAACCTGCATCATAAACTACACGAGCGTGAGTGAGGATGACCTTCATATAACAGAGATTTGGCTTACCTCAAACGTTAGCTGGTTATTTAATATTAATTAAACTTCAAGAACGTCATCAATAAATAGCCTACAACTCGTATTGAAATTATAAAAAATAAATTAATTAATAAACAGACTAAAGTTAAATACAAAACATTTTAATTTGAAATGACGTTTACTGAAATAAAATGTATAAAAACCTTATTTTTTCCAGCCAGTTGTCAAAGTAACGTCTCATTTCTACTTTATTTTACTTTAAATACTAACAGTAAAGCTGAAACAGATTCTCCTCAGGCAGACCGTCAAAATAACCGTTGAAATTTAAATGCCTGAGATTCGCGCCTCAGGAGCGTGACGTTTACACTCGTACGTTGGCTTTAAAAAAATGACAAAACACAATAAAATAACTAAATAAGTTCAACTAAAACCCATATTAATAAATCTACAATTGTATCTCAGTGATAGTAAAATAACACTGTAACCAATGAGAAGGCTTTTGAACGCACACAACCACACTTTCAACATTACTAATGGGGTTTTGACCAGTGATTTACCTTAATTCTAAGACTTATTTAATTTTTGTCTTATATATTTTCTTTTGAACACACATAACCAATAAATAACAGTCATGCTGGAATATTCCACGTTATTTCCTCAGATCTCCACACAAACATATCTAGTGCACTACACCACCTACTGGCCTGATAGTGTAGCATGTTATAGGAAATATATATTACTCAAAAATAAATAAATAAATAATAACCTAAAAAAACCTTTCTTTTTTAATGTATAAAGGAAGATAACTTTTCTGAAATCATTTTTTTAAATGTAAAGTTTTTAAATATAAATATTTTAAATTTAAAATATATATATATATTTTTTTTTATTAAAATATAAGTGGGGGTAAGGGATTCTACCCCCCAAAATATATGAAATATTTCTTTAACAAAAAACAAAGGGAAGAAAGTCTTTAAAAGATTTCCCAGTGGAAAAATATTTTTTTATTAAATAATATATAATTCTTTATGTCTGACCAAATTATACAGAGTCAGATCTAAAGAAAAATAATCATTACATAAAAAAATTTATGAAAATCCTTTTTTTAAATACATTACAAAATTTAAGTATTTACATCGTTGAATTAAACAAATGAAAAAATAGATAAATAAATCACACATTATATACAAGATATTCTCAAAAAGATCTCTGTGCTGTTTCATGAGGTTTTCTGGACGTTAGATGAGTCTGTAACGACTGAAGTCCATCAGACGAACTGAGAATCATCTTTCATGTCTGCTGTTGTTTGATCTGTTGTCTCTTCTCCAGTTCCCATTGAGCAGCGATTCGTGTGCCGTAGATCACGAAGCCCCAGGACAGCAGAACCACTGCCAGAAGAACCTACACACACATCATCATCATCATCATCATCATCATCAGATATCTTCACTGAACATAACAATCAACTCTCTTCATCTTCTAGTTCTGCAGCTAAGTATCAAGTATTAATAAGTAACGTTAACCTAGTATTAAATAAGAATTATAAATCTATAGTCTTGTTATTTTTTTAATTTAAAACCATGATCGTTTTCGTTCATTGGAATAAAGCTGAAATAATTATAAAATATATAAATAATAAGACAAAAATATAAATAAAACTATAATAGACACAGAACACTGTATCTTATTTGCCATGGTAGTAAAGTAACTTTATAACGATAACTACCATTCTTACTATACATAGCTTACTATATTTATCATGAATAATTTATTGAAATACCCAAATCGTCAGTAAGTTTATGTCATGAGCAGCTGTATTTTCTGATACTCACGATCGAGAATATTCTGTCCAAACAGCGTCGACTGACGAGCATGGTTTTATGTCTGTTTACTTCAATCTTTACATTTAGAAACTCAAAGCTACTTGTTAGCGCGGTTACCATGAGATCACGGCCGGAAGTAACTTTTATTCCACTACCGGTTCACCCAGGGCTTTTTCGTAGTTTTCCTAAAGTCCTTCTACAAATTCATGTTCAAACTGCAAAAAAAATTACGTAAAATATATTATAAAAAATAAAAAGCTGACCAAAGTCTAATTTCCGGAAAAATGGAGAAAAAAAAGTGTCACATAAAAAGTAAAATTATCTCATGATTTTTTTAATGTCATAATTTAGACTTTTACGTCATAGTTTCGACTTTTCATTTTAGAATTTCGAATTTTTCATTCCATTTGACTTAAGGTATAATTATGATTTTCATATCATAATTATGACTTATTGTGTCATAATTATGACTTTTTTATCTCACAAATGTGACTTATTTGATCATTATTTCGACTTTTTAAGGCAAAATTATGATGTTTTTTTTTCTTATGTGACGAATTGCATTTACTATTCAAGAACCTTATTTATTAATTAATTTATTTATAATTTATACATTTGTTTCAAAGAAAGAAAGAAAGAAAGAAAGAAAGAAAGAAAGAAAGAAAGAAAGAAATCGCTTGCAGTCACCTGATCGTGCTACATGTGCAGTACCGCTCTAGGATTTACATGTTTGTTTTTTTGTTGTTGTTGTTGTTGTTGTTTTTGTCTTATGTTACGAATTTATGCATTTAAAGAAAGAAAAAAGAAAGAAATCGCTTGCATTCACGTGATCGCGCTGCAGACGCAGTACCACTCCGCTCCGGTGGGGGCGCGCATGCGTGTGACGCCTGCCGGATGAGGCTCTGCTGTGTGTTCTGTTTCTCAACAGCAGTGCGAAACTCCTTCACTTCCATCGGTTTTTAATGTACATCTTCTTTTCATTTGTGTGTTTATCATCACGGATATCACTCTGATGTGATATAGTTGTTCTTATGGAGGTGCGCGCATGCGGTTTGGATTATTTACATTGTTTTTCGAAGGCTTTGTAATGAGGGGGTGATGATCAGGTGAGAGACTGTTTCATAAAACTATCCGTTTGTTTTATTTTCAATCAGATTTCACTTATGTATCCGTCTATTATCGATAAAGGTGTTTAGCTTTGAAGGCAAGAGAGAGAGATATCTAACGTCAGTGATCCTCGATAAATATCGACACCAGTGTTACTGTTTTTTTAAACATGTCCCATTTTTGACGTCAGTTTGAACACAATTTCAGTGTTTGATGTGTTTGATGACGTCAGTGTTTTCAGGGACACAAGAATGTCTTCGTTTATTCAATTTGAATGATCTTAATTTGAAGGATTATGTCTTTATGTAAATAAGTTATGTACTCTAAATGTCGCATTAACCCTTAAACGATACTTTGAATCTACTATGGTGATGATATTAGATAGTGTTTTGGTGTAATGTGTAGTACCAAATGGTTTCAAGATTCATATAACATTGTAATTACATGGTATTTCAAAGTACTTAAACTATACCATGCTATTGCCAAACTGGTGGCTGGTAGTCAGTGTTAAATTAGGGAAGCAATTAAGTATAATAATTAAAGAAAAAATCCTTACGTCTTTGGTGTACATGGAGTTTGTTGTATATTTTGTTTCTGTATAATTGAAGACATGTCATATTACACGCCATATCAATGTAGAATACATGTCATATATATTGTCATTTAATATTTTGCCGTTCTTCTTAATTTCTTTAACCTGAACAAAAAAAATCAAATTTTTTAGGCGGGAACTAAATGTCACGTAAATGTTGTTGACTCGTGTAATAAATTGCTTGTAATGTGCCTCATTCTAAGTTGCATTGGATACAATATACTACAGGGAACGAGCTAAGCATTGTACACTGAGCTGACGTTTTTGTGTGTGCCGTAGATGATGGCGCCCACTAAGATGAAGTTGCGTGTGAGGAAGAAAGACAGCGTTGGCAAATCTTCTCAGCGTTTATTGGCCAACGCGTCGCCAGACTCCAAATGCCCCATCTGCCTCGACGGCTTCAATAACGTGGCGTCGCTGGACCGCTGCCTGCACCAGTTCTGCTTCCGCTGCATCCACGAGTGGTCCAAAAACAAAGCGGAGTGTCCGCTGTGCAAGCAGCCGTTCCACTCCATATACCACTCGGTCAAAGGGGAAAAAGATTTTAAGGAATTTGTGGTGCCGCCGATGGAGAATGGAGCGGCGGCGAACGCCACAGCTAGCAACGCCCCCCAGCGCGTGCTACGCCCCCGAGCCCTTCGAGGCAGGGAGAGGCGGAGCCACAGAGCGCAACAACCCGTCCCTTCGTCTTCCCCACCGATGGAGGACGTCATGTTCGGCGGTCTCACGGACGCGGCGGCGCTAACGGAAAACCAAGACGTGCAGCAAATGGTGCTACGACTGACGGCGCGCAGGCAAGGGCGGGGCGAGGGGCGGAGCCTGCGACGCCTACGGGACCAAGATGTTGTCTCGTTCCGGCGTGCGCTTTACAGGACTGGCGTACGTGTGCGTAACACGAGAGACGTTGGTCGGCAGAGGGATATTTCAGCGTCGTTCTTACGGCAAAACCCTGGATGTTTGCGGCGACTCTTGCCTTGGCTGCAACGCGAGCTCACGGTGTTGTACGGATCGCACGGATCGCTGGTGAACATCGTGCAGAACATCATCATCTCGCGCATTATGAACTATAACATGGAGGACTCGGCCATTCGGGACGAGCTCCGCCCCTTCCTGTTAGCGCGCACTGACCACTTCCTGCACGAGCTGGTGAGTTTCGCTCGCTCCACCCTCAACATGGAGACGTATGACCAGCAGGCCATTTACGACTGTCCTGCTCCCAGCTACGAGGAGGGCAGCAGCTCGGACCTTTCCGTTATCGCCATCTCTGAGGTGAGACATCTCTGGGAAACGTTACATTTAGTTACGACTAACACACCTCTCACACATGATCATTGGTGCCCTGGACCATCGGTGGCCCTGTTAGACGCATCTTTTTGCAACACTTGATCCATTAATACTAACACTCTTTTTTTCTCCTCTCTTCTTCTCTATATCTATTTAAAATAAAAATACAGGTAACACTTTATTTTACAGTGTCCTTGTTACATATGTTACATTACCATAGTAATAACAGTAAATTATGTATAATTAAATGCAACTAACCCTCAACCAAACCCTAACCCTATATTAAATACATATTACTCGGTACTTAAATGTATAATTACACTGTAATTGTAAACGTTCTGTATAAAGTCATTTTTCGTCATTCTGCAATTTGGCTCAGCTGAAAATTCACATTTCGTCCCCCTATACAAAGCTTTCTTCCTAACTCCAGTAAACTTCCAAGGGGTGCTAGTCTTGGAGCTAATTATTGTTTCAAGAACAAGAATGTGCAAAACATTTATATATGTACTTGTAATGTGCTCTATAGATCAGTTCTTGTTCAAGGAACTTGGACAACCCTGAGCGGAAATATTAAGGTTTCCGTAAACGTTCATATAACCCTAAATTTGTTGTGGGCCATCACACAAAGACAGCCGCCTTAAATAAAAAAAAAAAAACTAGTGGTTTTGCAATACCAATAAATAGAGGTAAAAAATGAAACCTCTGTTGGACCACTAGACTAGACCACAGGATTGACCCTAAATGCAGTGACCAAGCTCCAGATATCCCCAACCATAAGTTTCTTTTCTTTCACTGGTAGAGTATGCGTTTGTAATGTATCAACATACGTTAAATTCTAAGGGAATACACAAACTAATATAATGTATGCTTTAATTGCGCTATAATTCACTTTGGAAAAGGTCATTCACCAAATTAATTTATACTAATGATATTGAATATGTCTATAGTAAGTCGGAACATAATTTAAGTTGTTATTCTCTTGAAATCATCCTTTATGATGTGTTCTGGCACTGTAAGCAGATAATGTCAGAGAACTGCAGAAGGGTATTATTATGGTTTTGGTTCTGTTCATGCAAGTTAATGAGGTTCAGTCTTAATGGTTGCATTGTTTTGTTTTTCTCAGGATGATGATGATGATGATAATGATAGTGAGGACAATGTGACAGAGAATCCCTCCGCTGTCCAGGAACACCTTGCCTCCGTTGCCAATGCAAGTGGAGTGGAAAGTTTGCTGAGTCAGTCAGCGTGGGATGACGAGACGCCTGGTCCCTCCTATTCAACCCTTTTCCCCTCTTCTAGCCAATCACAGGATGAAGAGGCGGAGCCAAGCTCAAGCACAGCACCGCCTTACAGTGGCCCTGACTGCCCTGCAGCAAGTAGCAGCGTGTCAGCTGGACGGGGTGAAGATAACGAAGAGGAAGAGTGCCTGATTGTGGGATACGTGAAGCCGATGGCCGAAAGGACCCCAGAGCTTGTTCAGCTCTCGTCGGATTCGTCTGAAGAGGAGCAGGAGGCAGCCGATACGAAGACACCAACCACAGTAACGAAATCTGAGACATCCCAAATGGAGCTCCCTTCGCAGTCCCATATGAACCTGCGTGTTCCTAGTTTATCCCCAGGCCTCGCTCCCTCTTGCAGTCCCCAGCGGACACACTCGGAATCACTCAGCAGAGAAAGAAAGACCGATTACTTGTCCTGCCGTGCTCACCCGTCCAACGATGGTTCAGATTTACGGCAGAATCGAGATGACACTGAGCTCATAGCGCACGAGAGGCGCAAAGACTCACATCAGCGCTCAATCAACAAAGAAAAAGCCAAGAGGTCAGAAAAATCATGGCACGACAAGACCCCAGATTGCTCGCCAATCCAAACACGTTCGCCTCCAAGTTGGTCCGGTCAGAGTCCAACGGTGTCTGTTTGGAGCGGCAGCCCTGTCTCTGGGTCAAACGGTAGCGACTGCTCTACCTCTCTAAACAACACGAGCCTAGAACATTCGTGCCACGTGCGAGAGAAACTCTCACAGTCTCCTTCTTACTCCAGGAAGAGGAAAATCAAGGAAAATAAGAGCAGGTCTCCCGACTTGAACTCATTCCTTAATTCCCACCATCCCAGAGAGTCACACCGCTGTCGTAAACGGCGCAAGCGAGCGATCAGTAGCAGCAGCGCTGATTCTCAATCCGAAAGGTCTTGCCTGGACAAACCAAGTGGGAAACGCAAGTACAAAACCCGGCACTTGGAGCGAGCGGCCCAGCGGCTGCACGAGGATGGAACTGCAACCAAGGAAAAGCGTCGTCGGCGGAGTAGGGAACGATCTCCCAGTGTGGAGATCATCTATGAAAGAAGGGCGCCCGAACCACATTGGCACCAGCGGAAGAAGAAGAAGAAGAAGCACCGAAAGCGGAAGAGGGAACTCCGTTCACCCACTGTAATCACGATTGACAGCGACAGTGACCGTACCATCGACTGTCTGGACCGTGTCATGGATATTATAGACCAAACCGCTGCAGATGTTGAGCCGAGGGACGGGACTCCTGGGCAAGATATGATCCAGAACTTGAGTTGTACCTTAGCCTCCTCAAATCCTCAATCCGAGTCCTCGAGTCCCGTAGCCGACCCAACCACTGAACGCACACTTAACCTGGACGACTATGTAGTGGACGTAGTCGACCGCAGTAGTTCTGACTGCTCCCGAAATCTGGATGAGAGTAGCCATGAAGAGTTTGTGCCCAACCCCTTCCCAATGGCTTCGATGTCACCAGCCCCACCTTCGGACACAAGACTGCTTGAAACTATACTGCAAGATCTTGAGGAATTCCTACCAGAGGCGAGGACGAGTCCTTACGCAAGTTCTCACGTCCAACAGGAGCGAGCTTCTATCCCTCGAAAAGACCAATCAGACACAAGAGGAGTTACAGAAAACCTGGAGAAAAAGAACACGGACGGAGACGGGCCGCAAGAGGCGGTGACCGACATTGCTAGCTAGGACTAAAACAGACGTACATCAAGACTTTTCTTACTTGTATAATGCTTATCTGAATCACTGAGCCAGTCTAGAAGTTTTTATAATCTCATTTAAAGATTTCTGCTGGGAACAGATGCTTAAGAAACATTGTCATTTCCAATGTCATTATTATTGTTCATGTTGTTTATAGTTGCAGTGATCCTCTTCCTCGAATCTGGTGCTTACTTGCTGTGCCACAACCCAACAACAGTCATGTCTGGAATCTGGATCCTAACCCTTGTTCCCCTAACCTCTACTCTAACTCAAATACATTAGGGTTGCTATCTAGACCAGTGGTTCTCCACTTGTTTGATTAAGGTCCCAGATTTGGTTTCAGAAGACACCATGGCCTTTGATCTGCTGAGCAAAATATATGGGAAAATGTACTAGCAATCCAAAGTGGACTTGATGATATGGTTAGTTGCATGTTCTACTTTTTAACAGACCAGACATCTGTTATTGGGGCCAGACTCACTGGTTAAGAACCTCTGTTGATCATTAGTCATTCAGTTCAACTGAACTTTGAGAGTTGTGTCTTTTTTAAACTCAGGGAACAGGTGACGTGCGCCTCCATGCCTTCGTTACACAGTCTATGTGCTTGTGTATGTGGGACTATGGTGACACCCTGGAGATATAATTCACTGATCATCATGTCTACTGAGCACACAACAAGCCTTCTTTACAGCTGTCCATCATGTCAGCCAACAATCAATAAATGCATTTAATAGATGTACAATCCAGCGTCTGTTTCGGTTTGTCTTTCTTTTTGAATTGCAGCATTAATTTTTCAATTTTGTGACCTACTCATGATTGTGATGTGTTGTGTTTTAACCAGTTGGGATACAGCAGAATGGTGAATCCTGTGTCTTCCAGGTAATGCTTGACTACAGTATTCAGGCATTGATAGTCTTTGGTAGAGTTGGTAGCCGGTTTGTTTGGAATTAAATTGACAAAACTGTTGCCTCAAATAGCCTAATTAATTAATTAATTTTGTATATATATATTGCTAATAACATAAATATGATTTACTGTATTAACCCAGGATTAGGCCTTAGTTCAATAGAGGGTTGTGTGTCGCTGATGGCGACTTACGGGAAGGAGCTTTGAGATTGACTGTACAAGAAATCTGAGATATATTTTTACAGACTGCTGAAGCTACTGAACTGAGAAGCAAATGGATCGCTGCAATTGACAGTGGACTCCGGGCAGAGAAAGGTGAATTTGCAGTTATTTTGTGTCAATATGCTGAATTTTGGGGTAAAAGCATATATATGTTGACAATGTTGTATTGACAACTCATCAATTAATGTCATCCTGTAATCTGAATAAATTGACATTTTTAAATAAACACGGACAAAAAAACCTACTTGTAAGTTTTAGAGCTGGACGATGCGATGATATAACATTGATATTTGTGATCACCTGGTTTTAGACATGGCCTCTATGTTGATAAATAGTTCACGGGCAAATTTGCTTTATTTCCTCGGTGTCAATATCAGTCACATTAAATGTCAGGAAATACTGGATGTCATTATCCAATATCATGTTTGGTAAGTGGTGAGGAACTAGTTTTAACCAGGTTTTAACTGATAGTCTTTCAACTATAAATCCAGTCACGCAAAGGGGGTACGTTCCGGCGGTAAAGTGACGTCAAAGTTTGACGGCTAGTTAGCATAAGCTTTTGGATTATAGCTAAAACAAGCTATGTGATCAACAAAAGTGTGGTTATTAGCCATATTACCGATTTTAGGACTCTGTAACCTGTGATTAAAAAGTATGGGTACACATAATTTTGTCCCTTTTTATCATTATTCAATTTAACTATGTTTATTTTTTATAGGACAGATAATGTAGGAACCATAGCTTCAGACAGTGGAATTAAATATCCACACTTCTACATTTATTATCTCAATATATTATTATTATCAATGTTTTCCCAGGGATCATGAGCTTTTGAGGTGAAATTATCGTGGGAGTTCCCCTTTAAGGATATTGTGGATTTATTAGGAAAAGGGACACTTTTGATTTCGTTTTCGGTGAAATTCTCAATTGTTGTTGTGCTTTTTGCAGCACTTAGGAACAGTGAGGAGTGTGTTGGCCGTGTCTTCATACTCGTGAGCTGACTAACAAGACACCATGGGCATCGTAGACGTTTTGAACATACAACTATAGACAGCTCACTAGATGTTGAGACGGCTGAGGTAATATTTCGCTTCCTTGTTTGTAGTTTCGCTTTTGTTTCTGGATCAGATGTCGTGAGCTCAGGCTCAGTCAGGACTTATAATCATGAGACAGTCTTCATCATAATCAGCGAGTCCTGTCACGAACAACCATGTACGAGCTGGTAAAGGAGAATTTGCGGCGCTTTAGCGATTATATCGCGAAGATTTTACGACCGTCACTTATCAAAACCTTTATGACGACGCACTTTGATAAAGGTGAGTTAATGAACGAATAGCAGCAGGTAATTTATAAAACCTGCATATTGTCATCTAGGTTAAAATATCCTTCGGTTGATATTTGATTAGAGTCCTATTGGATACTGTATATCAGAAATATATTTGTATTGTGTTTAATAATGTGTATTAAAGAGTGGCTGCAGGACTGTATTGACACCCTGAAAATACATTTTATGCCTGTATGGTTTTAACTTATTGGTGGTGATAAAAGCACTCCATAATATTATAAATCAAAATGTATATTTTATATTCGTTTAAATATTTAGATTTATTTTATTTTTCATTTATTTATTAACACTTTTTTCTAGGGCTGTGCAAAAATTCGCATCCAAAATAAAAGTCTGTGTTTACATAATATATTTGTTTGTGCTGTATATAATTATTTTATATATATAAATACCTATGCATGCATGTATATATTTAAGAATTATTTGCGCTTATATTCTGTATATATATAAATACATAATCTATATTATATAAATATAAATATTTTATATATGAATAAATAACACATTTTCTTAAATATATACATACATGCATGTGTGTGTATTCATTTATACAAAATAATTAAATACAGCACACACACAAATATAATATGTAAACACAGACTTTTATTTTGGATGTGATTAATCGCAATTAATTTTTGCACAGCCCTACTTTTTTCTAAAGTTTTTCACAGACAAAAGTAATGTAAGAATGCTACAGAAAAAAATATACTATAAATATCATACACAACATTTATTTTTATTACAGTTTTATTGATATTTCTAGGTTGTTTTTATTTTTAGATTTTAACTTTTCATGTTAATTAATTTCAGTTAATTTTTGTTGTAGGTGCTTCAATTTATTGTATATTGTTTATTTCCAAGACAACATTCTAATTTTCATCTAGCTTAACTAATAATTTATTTTATTTCAGCTTTAATTAGCCTTCCTAAAAAAAAGTAATACATTTTTGTAGTTTTGGTTAACGATAATAACCCTGATTCATGCTATATGGTAGTGAGTGGGACTTTTTTCGGATTGAACGGGTTGTAAGATTGTAAGATTTTAGTTTAATTTAAAAATGACTGGCCAATTCCATTCTGTGTAATTCTATTTTATTCTATTATTCTGTCTAATTCTATTTTATTCTATTCTGCACAGAGATGGTGGAAACCATTCTCTCTACCGAGGAGACGTCTGTGACCTCCGCTGCCCAGATGTTGCTGGACCGGATGTGTTATCTAGAGGAAGAGGGCTGGTTTCAGGCCTTTCTGGACACCCTGTTCGCCTCAGGTGAGATCAGGAATTACAGGAGCAGCTGATAGATGCTATATTATTTACACTAAGTGAAATTGGCACTATTTTGTGGCAGCACCTCATTGTATTGTTGCAGCACATTATGAAACATTATGCAAAAACAACATATTCAGTGTGTATGATATTTATACAAATGCTTTATTGGGACATTGACATTACCTACCTCCCCTAAAACTACCTGTTAAACAGTTTATTCCCACTATTAAATATCAGTTAGGCATGCCTTTTTTTTTAAATAAAAGCTAACACCGAGGCTGATTTGCGATGAATGACGGATTCGAACTAGGGTCGGACACGTCAAAATAATTCCCCACAGGGGGACTTTAAAATCAGTGGAACGTTTCCATCGAGGAAAGGTTTTCCACACTAAAATGTTCTCCACACTAAGAAAAAATGGTTGTTTTTAAGAACTGATCATTGAAAGGTTCTTTAAAGAACCAAAAATGGTTCTTCTATGGCATTGCTGTGAAATCGCTGTGTGTGATGCTGTAGATTATACCGGTCTGCACAAGGCCATTAAGGAGTGGGACTTCAGCGAGTTAGAGGAACTGAAGGAGCACCGGATACTCCTGGAGAGAATCGAACCATCGATCACCAAGCTCATAAAGCCCGGCGAGCTGCTCACACACATGAACGACTGTCTCAAGCTCAGGGAGTGTGAAGAGATCAAAGCGGTGAGTTTGCCTCTGTGGTTGAGGTGGTGTGAAGTACACTATATACACGACCAGACAAACGTTTTAGATCGGTAAGATCTTTAAAAAAAAGTCTCTTCTGCTCACCAAGGCTGCATTTATTTGATTAAAAATACAAAGAAACTGTAATATCGTGAAATTTAAATGAACTGTTTTCTGTTTGAATATATAGTAAAGTGTCATTTATTTCTGTGATCAAAGCTGAATTTATCATCATTGCTCCAGTCTTCAGTGTCGCATGATCCTTCAGAAATCAAGGATGCTCTAGAAATATTTATGATTATTATCAATGTTAAACAGTTATTTAGATTTTTATTTCAGGATTCTTTGCTGAATGGAGAGTTCAAAAGAACAGTGTTTATCTGAAATAGAAGCTTTTGTAACATTAATCACATTTGGGGTCAGTAAGAATTTGGTGGAAATAAACAAAATAAATAAATACTTTTATTCATCAAGGATGCGTTAAATTGGTCAAAAAGTGGCATTAAAGACATTTGTAATGTTACAAAAGATTTTATTTCAGATAAATGCTGTTTTTCTTTTTTTTTATTCATCAAAGAATTCTGAAAAAAAACTGTTTTCAACATTAATGTTTCTCGAGCATCAAATCATCATATTATGAAATTTAAAATTCATCTTTGATCACAGCAATAAATAGAAATAGAAATAGAAAATGTCATTTTTCAACTGTCACCTGAAAATTGTCAAAATATTTAACAAAATTACTGTTTTTTTTTTATTTATCAATTAAATGTAGCCTTGGTGAGCAGAAGAGACTTCTTTAAAAAACAATAAAAATACTTACCGATCCAAAACGTTTGACTGGTAGTGTATGAATGTTCCTCTCATTCTGTGTGTGTGTGTGTTACAGGTGGAAACCCAGAAAGGTTATATCGCTGCCAGTGAGAAACTGGTCGACACTCTCCTGCGCTCGGACAAACCGAACTGGTTTAAGGTGCTGAAGATGGCGCTGGACGCCTGCAACTGCGATCAGGCACTGGAGCTGCTGGAGTCCAGTAATACTGACGTTTTCGTACCTTTCTTTCATTTGTTGATTCATTTATCATCTATCAACACTACATTGGCCAAAGTTTTGGGACGCCTGCCTTTACATGCACATGAACTTTAATGCAGTGGTGGAGGAAGTACTGAATCTCAGTCCTTAAGTAAAAGTACAAATAAACAGATAAATATTTACTTTAGTAAAAGTAGAAGTAACACAATGACAACCATACTTAAGTAAAAAGTAAAAAGTACCTGATTTTAAATGTGCTTTAAGTATTAAAAGTAAAAGTACTTGCATAAAAATTTATTCTCTTAATGTCTATTTTTTCTAATGATTAATAAAACATTTAACTCGTTCCACCTAATACTCCTATAATGATGTTCAATAATTATGGGAAAAAATTGTTGTCACCGTTTCTTAAACAAGCTTGCAATTAGGCGATATAAACCATGCTTATCCTTACTATATATTAATAACTATGTTTGGCAGTAAACGCGATTCATTTATGGTGTAATTCTGAACCTCTTGGCTTGCCATAATCCTAACCAAACGTATATTACACACGGTGCGTTTCCTATGCACATAAAAACAAATTTTCGCGTATAAATTGCACGATAAACACACTGCGTGCGAGACGCATTTAGTTGATGTATTAATGGCAACCAAACGTCACTGGTGAGACAAACGTGCAACGAACGGACGGGCAGATTACGTTTTGGCAGGGAAAAACTGATCAGAAAATGTAACAGAAGTTGTAGAAATGTAGTGGAGTAGAAAGTAGAATAATTGCTGCAAAATGTAACAAAGTAAAAAATATGCACTATTTATTCTACTTAAGTAGAGTAAAGATACGTGAAAAATGTACTTAAGTAAAGTAACAAATTATTTGTACTTCGTTACATTCCACCACTGCTTTAATGAAATGATCCCGTTCTCAATCTTAATCTAAAGTAGGGTTTAATATGTAGTTTTGGCAATATAGTGTCTCTAACTGTCTCTATCTGTCCATCCATCCTTTTTTCAGTTCATTCATTTCTTCCATTTTTACATCCATTAGTGATCACACACTCATTCATTATATCCCCCATCAACAATATTGCTTGCATGCAATAGGGCGATCAGTTCTTTCTGTCACATGATGATGATGTATGTCCTGCAGATGGAGGCGGTACGGCCTCAATGGGCAGCGGATCTGATGGGGAGGCGGATTCCATGACGACAGAAACCGTGACGTCAGTGAGTTTTACGTTCAGAGAGGAGGCTGAGAGTGAAGACATGCTGATGAGCACCAACAACATGACTGTCACAGAGACACCCAGCGAGTTCAAAGGTACACGGCCCGACATCATGTGACCATATCAGAGAATGTCTAATTGAAGAGAATTGGCACTGTCTGGTTACTTCCGGGTTCTGGACTGGCTGCAGTAACGCGTCTCTGTCCATGCGGGGGCGCTCGCGGTCGAGTGCAGAATGAATGGGAGTCAATGGGGTTTCAACCCCCAGAAATCCACTTTCCTCAGGATGTAATTTTTTGTCAAGTAATTTGAAAGTTGCATTCAAAAGGGAGGGCTAAGATAATACACTCAGCTGAAAATTGCATTTTTAAGTTCACTTATCTGTTCTAAAAATCTGTTCAAAACTGTGATGACGTCACACAATAGCAGAATGCTAGCGTGTTCAGGCCAACAACGGCCTAACCTGTAAGAAATCAAAGGGACATAAGTACTCGTTCATTCGACTTTTGGCCTATAATCTATATTGAACTTGCGGAATCAACAATAAAATCTATTTTCATTTAATGACAAGCAGGAGAAAGAGACACATTTAGCCGTTTAGCCCCATAGACTCCCATTCATTCTGCTCTCGCCCGTGATCACCCCCAGTGGAATTCTAATGGAACTGCAGCCAAGATGACACACAACAGGGCTAATAGGAAGTGCCAAGGCTCTCCGTTAGACGGGCTCTGGCCATATCCTCAACGCTCTTGAGTTTGCTGACCTTTGACCCTCTTTGCAGGAGAATACGCGCGTTCAGGCGAGCGTAAGCTGAGGGAGTATCAGAAGGAGCTGACGGACGCTGCAGAGGGGCAAAACACCATCATCTGCGCCCCTACAGGTGCAAAATCTAAAAAACATGTTTCTGAATGACATATCCTAGTGAGGACATGTAGATGGACAACAGAAGCGGTCCCAGCACTGAACCCTGAGGCACTCCAGTAGCTAGATGATGTAACTTAGATCTCACCCCTCCCTCCATGACACCCTGTTTAATTTTTAATATCAAGTCACAACTCAATTCTACGGTGAAACATCAGACTTCTCTCAATCATTTAGTCAGCTGTAAGTCCGCACGTTTCTCACATTCAGATCGCCTCCATTTTTAATGCAACGTCCACCTCTCAACATCACATCAAAAAATGAATAAATAAATATTTACTCTACCATTCAAAAGGTTTTTTTTGTGATAATTTTTTCTTTCCCTCAGGATGTGGAAAAACGATTGTGGCCGTGGCCATCTGTGAAAACCACCTGAAAAAGTGTCCCGGGCGGGCAAAGATCGTGTTCTTGGCAACCAAGGTCGACGTCTATGAACAACAGTACAAGCTTTTCAAGGAACACTTTTCTTTTACTGATCCCAACATCAAGTAAGGTCCAACACACTCACACACACACTCACTAACACTCTCTCACACTAAAACACACACTCAGATGTCTCTCTCTCTAAAGCATGCGTGTGTGTGTGTGTGCTGCAGGGTGACGGGTATGTGCGGTGATATGGCGCTGTCGGTGCGGCTGCTGATAGAGACTCATGATATCGTGGTTCTGACGGCCCAGATCCTGGTGAACGCGCTTCAGAGCGGAGAAGTGCCGTCACTGGACATGCTGTCACTCATCCTGCTGGACGAGTGTCACAACACCACGGGGAAACACCCGTACAACAACATCATGACCCGCTACCTGGACACCAAACTCAGCTCCAGCACACACTCTCTGCCTCAGGTGCCACAACACACCATTCACACCATATCCTATCCTGTATTTATTAATTAATTTATTTATATATTTTTTTTTATTTGACTTTATTTTATTTTCAGAGGTACATGGGTGGCCAGGCTATTGCAGTCTATTCTATCCTACCCTTTTATATTGTTTGTTTATTTATTTAATTAAATTTTTTTCTGTTGGGTAAATGTGAATAGATTGTCAGTACTTTGCAGTAATTATGTTTAAAACATTTTGTTTAATTCAGTTTTTTTTTTTTTTTTTTGTAGGGTAAAGGTGTTTTAAAAGTGTTTTAATTATTTAAATGTATTTTATTTTAGA